TTGCATTAAAAAAATTCCTCTAGAAAGCAGTAAGAAAGTTGTCCTAAATGAAACTTGATTTGAATTTCAGAATAGATAAATAAAAGTTGAATTGTTTAGTCCAATCATTCTCATTAGCAATCAGTTAAGAAAAAGCAAAGAATAAAAGCTTAATTTTTTTATTTGATAAACATTCCTTAAGATATTATATAGTTGAAAGACTTTCCTTAATATATTTTTTCTCTAAATTATAGGTAGAGTTGTTAATGCAAAGTTAAGAGGTTCAACTCCTTAATTAGTTTATTGATATGAGTGTTAATAATTGTGGTGTAGCACAATCAAAATTATAAAGGGTAGATACAGATGACAACTAAAATGATAGTTGTAATTGCAGCTGCAATTGTGCCTGTGGATAATGAAGGATCAGAATTGTGACATGCTTAAATATAACTATCACACAAGTTTTTAGTTTGTAAATATGACATATATGTTCATTTATAAATAATTGAGGAGCAAATTCTTAGGGAATAAAAATAATGGGAAAAGGTTACAATGATGCTCTTAAATGTCGTTAAAATGCAAATTCACATTTACTTGAGATGGCAAGCAAAGTTAAAATGTGCCTTAACATAGTTATGGAAGACTTAAAGGTAATTGCAAAGCCATTTTACAATCTATAGAGAATGTTCTTGAAATTTCTCAGAGCATTCAAAGAAATGAATTAAGTGACGAGTTATTTCTAATATTCATGATGATGATTATTATCTTCATTTCAAATATTTCATATAGCTAGTTATCAACAATATATGATAAAAACCGTATCTCCTATAATTAACAATTACATAAATTATTATTACTGACAACATATTTTCGTAGGCCTCATTGTGAACAAGATTTTGTCGCTAATTCATTGCACCTTAAGACATTTTTCGTTCATTTAAATACCAAGTTATTTTAAAGAGTGAACTTTTATAAAAATTGATTTACTAATCTATTATGCATTAGTAATTTTAAATAGAATGAATGACCAAACTCTATTCAGTAAAGAATTAATGGTGAATTTTCTGATGTACAATATTCATGTATTATCGATAAAATTTTTATCAAAAAAATGCAATATATCCTGCTTGCTTTAAAAATTTCATCAATAGTTTGACAAAAAAAAATTCATTTATAGCGTTAATAAATAAGACCATTAGTTTTTAGTAAAAAAGTACAAAAATGTTTAGTGATTCATTAAATTTGATTATCTTCTAATCCTATTTAAAAATTTTTAATATGTTTTTAGCCGCACTCATCAATGTCAACATCTTTGCCGGTGCCAGCACGAAGCCTACTGATGGCAGCGTGGAGATGCTTAAAATGTGGGAAATTTAAAATTTAAATATATTCATATTATTATTATATTTCTTTACAGTACAGATGAGGTTTCATGACGTATTAACGCTATGCTTTTTTAGTTTTCATTGATAAGATCATCTAATTAAAGAACTAAAATTTTGATTAACAAAAAAAATTGAAGGATATGCATTGACGCAAACATGCAAAACTCTTTGAATTCTCAGAGTAAATTAAATTAAAATGAATGTAAATGTAGTTTTAAGTTTCTACGATTATAATTTATTAACCATAGTTATATTATTTAAATTTAATATACTTTAATTGTTATATATTTAATATATTTTATCAAATTATAAATTTTTAAATAATATTAAAATACTTTACTAACATATTTAAGTTCAAATAATGTTAAAATGCCCCTAGATTTGATTTGGATGAAGAAAACGCCACCTACTATCGCATTTTCAAAGAAAATGCAAAGTAGCTTTGCGTTTTCTTCAGAAAACGCAGTCCTGCTTTGCGTTTTCTTCATAAAACGCAAAACGCAAAGGATGAGTGCGTTTCTGCTCCTTTTCAAATTAACTTAATATCATGCTCCTATTCCTAATACAATTTTAAACTATGCTCCTTCTCAAAATTTGCCCATCCATCTTTAAACTTATTGGGATTATCAATCATTGTTTCCCTCAAGTCAAGGGTAGATCAAGTTTTGCCACCGGTAGTCAAACTTTTTGTCTCCAAATCAATGGCTTTTGTCCATCCATCTAGATCAGTATCTCCACCAACCACCTTTGCAACTCTCGAGCTGTCCTCAACAGTACTATAAATATGAGGCTTCTAGATTAGCTCTATTTTTTCAGTCTACACTTTCACACTCTATGATTTGACTGAATATTACAAAGCATAATATTAGGCATGGTTGAGACTTCGTTTGGGATAAAAAATAACTTTTTAGTACACTAATTTTTTTTTATGAAATTTTTGCATTAAAAAAAATTCCTCTAGAAAACAGTAAGAAAATTGTCCTAAATGAAACTTGAGTTGAATTTCAGAATAGATAAATAAAAGTTGAATTGTTTAGTTCAATCATTCTCATTAGCAATCAGTTAAGTAAAGCAAAGAATAAAAGCTTAATTTTTTTATTTGATAAACATTCCTTAAGATATTATATAGTTGATAGACTTTCGTTAATATCTTTTTTCTCTAAATAGGTAGAGACGTAGAGTTGTTAATGCAAAGTTAAGAGGTTCAACTCCTTAATTAGTTTATTGATAGGAGTGTTAATAATTGTGGTGTAGCACAATCAAGATTATAGGAGGTAGATAATGATGAAAACTAAAATGAGATTTGTAATTACAGCTTTAGCTACAATTGTGCCTGTGGATACCGAAGGATTAGAAATGTGACATACTTAAATATAACTATCACATAAGTTTTTAGTTTGTAAATATGACATATGAGTGTTGTAGGTTCATTTATAAATAATTGAGGAGCAAATTCTTAGGGAATAAAAATAATGGGCAAAGGTTACAATGATGCTCTTAAATGTCGCTACAATGCAAATTCACAATTACATGAGATGGCAAGTAAAGTTAAAATGAGCTTTAGCATAGTTATGGAATACTTAAAGGTGATTCTAGAGCCATTTTACAAGTTATAGAGAAGGTTCTTGAAATTTCTTAGAGCATTCAAGCTATTTTCAATATGATCAAATTTTTCTGAGTGAATTAAGTGGGGAGTTATTTATAATATTCATGATGATCATTATTGTTTTTATTTCAAATTTTTCATATAGTTATCAACAATAGATGATAAAAATCGTACCTCCTATGATAAACAATTACATAAATTATTATTACCGGCAACATAATTTCGTAAGTAAAATTCTCATTGCGAACAAGATTTTGTCGCTAATTCATTGCACATTAAGAAAAAATTTTCGTTCATTTAAATACTAAGTTAATTTAAATAGTGAAATTTTATAAAAATTGATTTACTAATTGATTATGCATTAGTAATTTTTCAATAGAATGAATGACAAAATTCCTATCAGTAAATTAATGGTGAATTTTTTGATGTATAATATACATGTATTATCGACAAAATTTTCATAGAAAAAATGCGATATATCCCGCTTGCTATAAAAATTTCATCAATAGTTTGACAAAAAAATTCGTTTATAGCGTTAATAAATAAAACCATTAGTTTTTAATAAAAAAAAGTACAAAAATGTTTAGTGATTCATTAAATTTGATTATCTCGTAATCCGATTTAAAATTTCTTTAATATGTTTTTAGCCGCACTCATCAATGTCAACATCTTTGCCGGTGCCAGCACGAAGCCTACTTATGGCAGCGTGGAGATGCTTAAAATGTGGGAAATTTAAAATTTAAATATATACATATTATTATTATATTTCTTTACAGTACAGATGAGGTTTCATGACGTATTAACGCTATGCTTTTTTAGTTTTCATTGATAAAATCATCTAATTAAAGAACTAAAATTTTGATTAACAAAAAAAATTGAAGGATATGCATTGACGCAAACATGCAAAACTCTTTGAATTCTCAGAGTAAATTAAATTAAAATGAATGTAAATGTAGTTTTAAGTTTCTACGATTTTCTATTGATTTTAATAGTTTACTAAAATTAAGAAGACTACTCTAAATCCAACTTATTTACCGTTTGAGCATAACCCAATTCCACAGATCCAACCCAAACTTTCTCCGCATGTTTCTTAGTAACATGCAAAACTCTTTGAATTCTCAGAGTAAATTAAATTAAAATGCATGTAAATGTAGTTTTAAGTTTCTATGATTTTCTATTGATTTTAATAGTTTACTAAAATTAAGAAGACTACTCTAAATCCAACTTACTTTCTTGATTTCAATGTTCTTTTGAAAATTGGATAAAAATTTAGGTTTTGTTTTGCTTTTAAAAGCAATTTTTTAGTAAAAATTTTGTATTAAAAAAAATTATACTAAAAAATTGCTTAAAAATACAGCAAAAAATATATGTTAAATAATGTCTTAGTATATTAGAAGCTTCCTATCGCACAAGTTTTGCAAAAAATCAAGTAAAAAAAAAAGTAATCAAATTAAACTGAAATGTGATTATAATATGACAAATAAAATAGTGAAAAATTGCTGTAAATAGACTCCTAGTAATTACATGCAAAATCTAATTGTATAATTATTATGTAAAAATAATTTAAAAAAATGATATGATATTATATATCTACATATCATTTATTCATAAATATGATTTCATTGGGATAACTTTTTTATTGATTTTTAAAATAATTTTTTTTGTGTTAAAATATAATTTTTACACAAAAAAAAAAATATTTTAAAAATCAATAAAAAAGATTTCAAATAAAATCATAGTTCACTTGCATAGATAGTCGTCTCACACTTCTTTACTTTCCCATACTGATAAATTACAAAAAATATGGACAATTATGTAGCAAATTTTTAGCTGTTAAGCCATTTTTTTAATGACTTGCGTGATTTAGATAACGTTGATCACAAATAAATTAATTTGAGTGATTTAAATAATAGTTCCGACATAATATAAAAAATGTAATGATTTCAATGGTGCTAATAAATATTATATTTAAATAGTCAGCACCAATTGGCCGACTATAAACTCTCCTCTTTCCATCGTGCCTCCAACCACCGGTGAGGAAAAAAAATCTGAGCTTTCTAATTCTTCCGACCATGTCTGGTTCCCTGAAGAAGTGCCGACGAAGCTACCGCCGCCTAAACTTGGCTTCGCGGTCTGATCCTTTACAAGAAGAGCAGAACACCGCCGATCCAAAGAAGGCCGCCGGCGCTGCTGCCCATAGCTCTAAAGGCCATCCGGTGTTAAATTTCTTCGGTGCATCAAATAAAGAGAAGGCGGCGGCCAAGCCGGAGATGATGAGGTATCTGGAGTACATGAAGGAGGCCGGGACATGGGAGCCTTCTTCTGATAGCCCTGTCATATATTTCAAATAGTCTGCTAATTTCGCATAATTAAACTGTACAAGTTTGCTATCTTTTTTTTTTTTTTTTGTTAATTAAACGGAATATTAATATAAGGGCCTCTCTTTTTTTTTGAGAAATTATTCTCTGCGGATTTCGGATCGTCCGGAGGTGAATCATAATGCACCATGCCACTCAGTACATAGCGGTATTGAGCACTGATAACCAGGAAACGAGTGACATAGAGTGTTGTGATTCACCTCCGTACAACAACCGGAATATGAACATAATAATTAATCTTTTTATTTTTGGTGCTATATAAAACTAGTAATCTTGATTGTTTGCAGGATGTGCTTTTATTTTCTTATATTAATTTTATTTCAAGAAAGTTATAGCATAATTTATTAAAAAAATGTAGAAGAGAATATATATATATATATATATATAATTATATATATAATATAATCATTTTTTTAAAAATAATTGAGAAACATATTAGAAATCATTCGAATATGAAATTTGACTTTTGTCATATACTAGAGAGAGATTTTTTTTACTCATAGATTATATCTAAGAATTGATAGTCGTTTAGACTGAAGATTAGATCTTATTTAATATTATAGTATATTTTATTTTAATTAATATAATGGTAATAAAGTAAAATATTTGACCATATACCATTAATTAAGTATATAATACTAAATATGTTAAAAATCTAATAAAATGATTTTTGTTGAATCAAATATTTTAAATTAAATACATTTAATAAGAGTTTCAAAATGAGAAAATAAAAATATTAATTTTAATTAATTAATTAATATTTCATACTATTTTAAAATAAATTTAAGTAACTTTAAAATCGATTTTTGACGAAAGATCATTCATATTAATTTTTATATAATAAAAAAAAACCAGATTCCTTCTTAAAAATAACAGCTATATGACACACATGTAATCAGCGATAACCACAAGGACTGAAAAAGTCTAAAGCACAGTAGTTTTAGTCACGTGGTTGAAATGGGCCGGATATTATTAATTAATCGGAAGATATTGTACAGCTGCGTGGTGGCTGGGATGAGATCGTATATGACACATAATATTGCAGGTGGGGTTAATGTGTTCTCAATTAATAGGTTACCTACTTGGCCTTTATTTTCCATCAGTATTTAAGCTGAGGGGCAATTTTTTTATTATTTTTTAAAATATTTTTTTATCATAAAAATTATTAGTTAAAAAACTACACCTAAAATAAATGACATGATTTTTGCGTCCGGAAATATCCACGACGGTAAAGTAGGAAACTCTTTGGTCGTCATACATGGGAGATATTTGATGAGTAAAAAGTTGATAGCTGCGCGTTATAGCAACTCCTGTAAAAAGTTGTCAGCTTTCATTTTATTTATTAAGACTTTTTTCATTTCAAGTATTCAATCCACTTTCTACTCAAATCATGTAATTCTTCAAGGTGTAGAGAGAGAAATACTAATGGGGTAAAATATTAAAAGGGAGAGGGAGGAATGACTTTCCATTGTGGAAAGAATGATGAAAATAGTTTTTGACATTGAAAGACTATTTGATTAATTATTTTTTTAAATATTTAACTATTTAAATATGATTTTATTAAAACTTTTATGGTTAACTAACTATTTATTATCTAATATTTATTATTAAACATTAAATTATCACCCAAATATTTAATTATTTTTGCACTGCTAATGATTTAATTAATTACTATGAAGGGTTTTGCTTTTACTCGCTTTTGCGCAACGGAAATATTGCAGCCGCGCAATCATGACAGCGCACCAAGCTAATTCAATACTATGTATATTCAGTTCCTCTCTCCACTTCCATACTAAAGCTAAAACTGAAAGCCTAGAGGGGTTTAAAGCTATTTGTTTTAGTGGCTTTATAGAGCAACAATTTTACCAACGAGAAATCATGCTCCAATTTATGTAATTCTTCCTTTTAAAGCAATTTATTAATCTAGAGAAGCCACCAATATTATTTTCTGGACACATGAAAGGCATCAATGGTTCGTTTTTCTCTTTACTCCTCTCTCAAGACTCACGAGTCACGACCTCGAGAATGGCTTTCGTTAGGTCCCCCTAAACGAAATTTCTAGCTTCACCACTGGTCTTAGTGTTGCACAAGTATCCAGCTCACAAACAGAGATAGTATAAACACTAGAATTTTTTATGTAGAAAATCCTGGAAGGAAAGTCATGGGGCAAGTCCAGTTGAAATGAATCTACTAGTGTTTGAATAGATTACAAATGATTGCTTGTTCTTGAACTTGATGATGATAATATTACAATAGTCAACTGTTGGGTTAAAATTTAGTAATGAACAATAATCGGATGGAAGTCCGACAAAGGTTAGTGGTCGGGATAAAATCTGGCGTTAGTTGGTGGTCGGACGGAAGTTGGTGGTCGGGAGGTAGTCTTACGGTAGTTGGTGGCTGGGAGTAAGCCTGGGGAAAGTCTGACGATGGTTTGTGGTTGGGTAGTGGTCAAGGAGTTTGGTGGAAAAAGAACTCTGATTTCTCCTACTTTCTTCTTTTCCTTGTTTGGTCCCCTTTTAGTGAAGAATGAGATGTCTATTTATAATTTTCAGAGAGTGGCTTGACCAGTAAATATAGAGAAGATCAAAGTCATGTTGAGAGTGTTTTGAATGGACGGTCGATATCAATTCCCTTAATTGTGGACTATTTATTGAGCATTTGAGCATCTTAATGATATCAAAATTTGACGATCTTAGGCCCTTTGGATTCGGCTCGTTGAATTGCTCGATTCGATTATAAGCATATCACATTTGGAAATTATTTGGTCGTCCAATTTATGATATGAACCTTCCAAATGTGTTTCGGGTCTTCATCAATATGAACCTATTTGGGCTCGGATTGGGACAAATTTTGATGTCGTTGGGGTCGCCTTTTCAAGACATTAAGTTCGAATATAAGTTTACTGAAATCGGAGTTCGAATGGTCCCATATTTAATTTTTTAAAGTTTTCAATTCAAAATTTTCCTCGAGAGCCATGTTTGATCAAGATAAATTTTTACTAATATATCAATGATAGATATGGATTGACAAAAACATGTTGATTTATTTGATTAGGGTAAATGTGCCCCCATAGTTTTGGCATGGCCATGGGCGGATTCAAAAGGGTCAGCAGAGGCACGTGACCCCTAAAAAATACGATGTCTAATTAAGATTTTAAAATAAAGAAAAAATAATATGGACATATTGGGTAGGCAATCATATATACTTTCTGGCTTGCATTAAAACTATTGTGCAACATTCAATTCAATCCATATGTTTATGTCAACATGTACTTTTGACATATCATCTATCTTCTTTTATAGGTGTAGCCTTATCTATAATCTCCTTAATTTTATAAATAAAAGGTTAAGAGATGTTCTAGATTTCATGCTATTTTTAACTGTTCGCCGCAATATTTAAGCTTCTCACTCTATCTTCATACTTAGGTTTCATTTGGGATAGCTTTCGTACTGCTTCCCAAAACGGCTTTCTAGTATAAAATTTTCTAATTCAAGAAATTTTTGTACTAAAAAGTTGTTTTGGAAAGCAACAAAAAAACTGTCCCAAATGAAGCCTTAGTTAATTTTCTCACTTGGTTCTTTCATTCTAACTCGCCAAACTTACTAGTAGTTATAATTTAAATTAAGTTATAATTTTTTTTTTAATTTAGAAAATGCATTATAATATTAAAGTATAAATAAATTAAGTTTGAATATCCTGATCAAAACTTGATCTGAATGTGCTACATTACTCTTGGATATGCACTAAAATTAGTATAGTGTTTAAATATTATAGGTAACATTAATTTCAATATAAATATAAATTAAGTGATAATGAAATTCATTTTGATTGAATTTTAATTACAATATTTTGATATTTTTTTATTAAATATATGACTTAAATTAATGGCTCGAAGAAATAACCTACTTTAACTATTTATGCCATACTTTTTTTTCATATCACCTAAGAGGTTGGGATCAAAATGTGCCCCACTTATTTTTAGAAGGACAAAATAATTTTCAATTATTTAAAACTTTCATTTTTAATTCTTTGAATTTTTAAATTGGGCTCTAAAAGATTTTATAGAATGACTAATTTGATCTTATTTAAATAATATAACAATAAAACCAAGTGTTTATCTCACCATGTGGGATAACAGTTGATATGTCACAAAAAATTTATCTTGACCAGACACTAATCTCGATGCAAATATAAGGTCGATGCTTCAAAAATTAAAATCGATATCATCCAAACTCTGATATCAATAAACTTATAATCAAATTGAACATCTCGTAGAGACGAACCCAACGACACCAAATTCGTTCTAATTCAAGCCCAAATGGGACCAAATCAAAGGACCAAAGCCTATCTGAACGCTTCAGAGCATTAATTAAATGACCTAATGATGTCCAAATATGACATGCTTATGGTCGAAGAGAGCGACTCGATGAGACAAATCCAACAAGCTCAAGATCATTCAATTTTGACATCTCTAGGGTAATTAAATATTTGATAAATGCTACATAATTAAGGGGATCACTATGAGCCATCCGATGAAGCACTCCCAACATGCTCTTGTTCTTCTCAATATTTACTAGCCACGCACTGCAAAAAAAAAAAAAAAAAAAAAAAAAAAAACCCCTCTATTCTTCACATGAGGAGAGAAATGAAAAGAGAAAACTTGGAGAGCTCCTTTGCCATCGACCACTTCCAGATTTCTTCCTGGCCACTAACCGTCACTAGACTTCTTCTTGTTCATCAGCTGCCACCGAATCTCTTGCCAACCACCAGCCATCGTCAGACTTTCGTCCATTCTCCGATTATCATGAGAATTCTTCCTGGATGTTATCGACATCGGATCTTCTCCCAAATACCATTGCCTCATGACTACAGTCTTTATGACCTCTATCGTCCTCCGACTACGATCTCTTCTACCAACATCTTCAGACTACGGTCTCACCAACTACGGTCCTTCCGATCACCAGCACCTAACTACGGCCTTTACGACCTCTGTCTCCCGCTGACTACGATCCTTCAGACCACTGTCAATAGACTATGGTCTTTCCGACCTATGTCACCTGCCTATTAAGGTTCTTTTGACCATCGTCATCTTGTTACGATCTTTCTGACATCCTTCATCATCCAACCGACCACCGTTTCCCTCTGATTAGCCACCATCATACGACTATGATATCTCTAACCACTATCGCCAAACTACGGTCTCTCAAAACATCACCGCTTGACTACGCTCTCTTAAACCATCATTACCAGACTATGGTCTTGCCGACTACTATCGCTTGACTACTATTTTTTGACCTTCATTGTCCTCCTACTAGATCCTTCCAACCAGCATTGTTCGCTTACATTCTTTCCTCTATAGCCTAGATACCACGGTCTCTCTACCCAATATCTCCAGACTATAGTCTCTCTGACTGTCGTTGCCTGACTACAGTCTTGATCACCGTCACATGACTATGGTCTTTCTGACCTCCGTCGTTCGTCGAATACGGTCCTTCTGATCACTATCAACCAACTATGATCTTTCTAACCTCCATCACTGCCTACCACAGTTCTTCTGACCACCGTCACTTGATTACAGTCTTTTCGACCTCCATCGCCCTCCGACCAACCATCGTCCCCCTTAGATTGGTCACCATCGCATGACTATAATATCTCTGACCACTGTCATCTAACTATGGTCTCTCCAAACACTGTCGCATGACTACACTCTCTTCAACCACTATCACCTGACTATGATCTTTCCAACCTTTGTCGCCCTCCTACTAATATCCTTCCAGCTAGTGTCACATGACTACAATCTTTCCAACCACTATTATTTGTCGAGTACGGTCTCCATGACCAACATCTCCAAGTTGCATTCTCTCCAATCGTCGTTGCTCGATTACGGTCCTTCCAACCACCGCCACATGACTATGGTCTTTTCGACCTTCGTTGCCCGGTAATTACGATCATTCTGACCACAATCGCCTGACTATGGTCTTTCTGAGCTCCATCGCCCGCTGACTACAGTCATTTGGACCATTGTCACCCGACCATGATCTTTAGAACCTCCACTACCTGCATACTATGATACTTCCGACCACCGTAATCCTATTACAGACTTTTAGACTTCTGCCACCCTTAGACAAATCACCATCACCCATATATGCAAACTTTAGCCACAGTCGTCCAACTATGGTCACTCCAAATGCCATCACCTGACCACGATCTCTCTAATCGCCATCACCCGACTGCGGTCCTGCCGACCATTATCTCCCCACCATGGTCTTTCCTACCTCCGTCCCCTGCCTACTATGATACTTCCAACCAACGTCTCCCTACTACGGTCTTTCTGACTCCCGTCTCCAGTGGATTACAATCTTTTTGACCAACATCTCCAGACTATAGTCACCCCGACCGTCGTTGACCGACTACAGTCCTTCCGACCATCGTCACCTGACTATGATTTGTGTGACCTCCGTCGCCCTCCAACTATGGTCCTTCTGACCACTATCACCCGACTACGATTTTTCTGACCTCCGTCGCCCATCAATTCTGGTCTTTTCTACCACTGTCACCTGACTACAGCATTTCTAACTTTTATCGCATGACTATGATCCTTCCGACCACTATCGCCCAACTACAGTTCTTCTGACCTAGATCGCTCGTCGAATATGATCTTGATGGCCAAGCGAACATGTCAACCATATAATGCACTTTATATAATGTATATTGGCAACATAGAGCCAACACTTTTCCCCTAAGGAAATGCCTTATTTGTAATAAGCTGCAAACGCTCGTGGGTTCATTTAAACTGTGTAAAACCCTGCTCCCCTTTTCAGGGGTTCCACATAAAAATTTTGATGTCTTATATGAATGTTGCATACCTCAATCTTTCACCTATTTATGTGTTAATTTTTTTTTACAAAATTAAGACATTAAATTTTATATTTCTATTCGGCCGTGAATATTTTAAGACGTAACAAGAGTTAAAAAAATTTTCCCCAAAAAGAGTTAAAAAATTAAATTTATATTTTTATATGATAGGAAATAAAAATCAACACGAGGCCGGCATATCACTCTGCGATTCTGCGCCCCGAAGGCCCCAAAACTTAGCGCTAAATGGATTCTATGCCGTAAGCCTTGTCCTCACCAATTGACCCGATCTATTTGATCATTTGAGAATCTGAATTGGTAGATATTGCATCTGCAGATCGAGTTATTGCCCGATGTTTGGATCGTTCTCTTGTTTAGATTAGATCTAGAGTATCAAGCCCTAGCTCCTGATGGAAGGAGCACTGGGCGGAGACCCAGGTGAACCGACTAACCTGGCGAAATGGAAGAGCGATTTCTCCAGGTCGTTTCAGTTCTACCTCGACCGCTCCACTCCTCATCCGGTTAGCAGATGGCTGGGGACGCTCGGTATTGTTGCGATCTATTCTTTGCGGGTTTATTTGATTCAGGGGTTCTACATCGTTACATATGGCCTCGGGATCTATTTGCTGAATCTACTGATAGGGTTTCTGTCTCCAATTGTTGATCCGGTGATCGAGGGCATGGAAGGAGCATCTCTTCCAACCAGAGTTTCGGATGAGTTCAAGCCCTTCATTCGACGCCTTCCAGAGTTTAAGTTCTGGTATTTTCTATTATTTTTTCAATTGTCGAGTTGGTTATATTTAAGTCCACAAGTTTCTTCGACTAATGATGCATTTGGTAATCTTACCACAAAGTATTGACATTATAGATTATGTTTTTTATTTTTCATTGTAGATATTCTTAAAAGTATATTTTAATGGATCTAAATTGATTGACATACAAGCATCTCACATTTCATACCAAAGTTGAAAGTTTTGAACACTTCTGAATCACAAACTACTAATCTACCTATAGCATGAAAGAATTAAACTCAGGTAGCGCAATTTGCATAGATTATCGACATTGCTCTTTGGGTATCTGACTTTGTAAACATTTGCAAGTGATCAAATGTTAAATTGAGCTAAACCTATTATGCAGCATTCCCTTTAACAGTTTAACTTAAGTCAGCTTACTTTGAAGTAGATACTATTTAGTTGTTAGGTATCCTTCTCCTTCAATGTAATTGCTATCCTCCTGCATATTTTAGCATTACTACACTATCCAACCCTAGCCGAAAAAATGTTTTGATGAGTTGGCAATGTGTGCCATAGACAGCCAATTGAGGGGATGAGTTGGGCAGCATAACATTTTCTTTTGTTGTAGTATTTATTTCATTCATAGGAATTATGAGATACGATAGTGTTTTATTTACATTTGCAACGATCTCTGCATTTTCAGGTACGCCATAACAAAAGCATTCTGCATAGCCTTTGTTATGACCTTCTTTTCAGTTTTTGATGTTCCTGTGTTCTGGCCGATACTTCTTTGTTATTGGATAGTTCTTTTCTTCTTGACAATGAAGCGGCAGATTATGCACATGATCAAGTATAAGTACATCCCATTCACCACAGGGAAGCAGGTGAGGGTTCCATCTTTTTGATGTTTTAGCTGTCATTATTATTCTCTTTGATTTAAGGGGTATTAAGATAAAACTATTACTGATACCAGTAAAATCTTGTGTGAGTATATTGCAAAATCTCATTGGATTAAGTTTGGAGTTATTTGTGTGTAACATTCAAATTTTGTATATTTATAAAAATAGCTTAAAATATCTCCATCTACAATAATATGATAGGAAACACTTGGATTCCCAAGTGTTTCTCACCAAAACTGAAGTAGATCCGATGGAAACTGCTGTACACAGCAGAAAAACAGCAAAAATACGAGAAAAACTGAGAGGAAACGTAGGAGAAATCGTAGGAAAACGAAGCAAACACTTTTATTCCAGTAGACGATGAAAAGCACTTGCAAGATACAACTTTCCTTCAATTCGAGAGGAAGGAAAAACTCTCCAAAGATCTCCGGCAAAGCCAAGAGCCCAAGAACACAAAACCCTAGATCTCCAAACAATTCAAATTCAAGATAATCCCCCCCTTTCCTCCTAACCTCCTAATTAACCATAAAGGAGTTTTACAAAATGTCTAAACAGCCCCTCGCATTCAAAATTTTCCTCCCAAAACCCTTCCTTGGCCCCCGTCGGATTCGCTTGTTCTGCTCGGTTCTGCCCGCCTTGCTCGGTTCCGCCTCCTGTAGGTGTGGACCGGTCCGGGTTGGACCGGTCCAGCCGGCCCCTCCTGGGCCGGCGTAACATAATATTATCCAAATCTCAACGAACATAATAAAGCTCACCTCATATTTTTGTTTTCATTAAATTCTCAACCGAGTTAGTTGCGGCACACATAAATACAAGGTTTTATTTTTTAATTTTTTGGGCAAGGTGTTATGATGAAGATTTAGGTGGTATGGCTTTTATTTCTTTAGCTAAGTTTTTATTTTTTTTATTTTTTTCTGTCGGATAATTTGAACCGCTCACCTGTAATTTCTTCCAAGAACTTCTTCAGCTTTCACCAGCTATTCCCTAATTATATTTCTGAAGGGAGAAAATATACTGCTACCGGATAAGTCTTGCTATATTTATACACCCAACATATTCCTTTCTACCATTTCCTTCCATACTTGCATGTTCTTTAATACTTTTTATGCAATAATCTCAATGAGATTGCATGTTCTGAAAATGTTCTTGATCCATTGAAGTGGAAGTCTGGAGAGATGAAGGGAGAACGAAGGACATTTAGGAGGAAGTGATGGGAGAGCTGGGAGGAATTTTTGGTGGTAGGGAGTTAGTGGGATGGATAATTTTTTTGTTTTTCATAAGCAATATAAAAGGTAGAAATTATTTGCAAATCCTTTATAAACATCAGTTTGAGTAGATGGGCGGGTAAATTGGTGTCACTAAGGAAAGTTTAACTATAGTTTCGTTTGGGACAGCTTTCGTACTGCTTTTTAAAACGGCTTTCTATTCTAGTATAAAATTTTTTAATTAAAAAAATTTTTTACTGGAAAGCTGTTTTTGAATACAACAAAAAAGTTGTCCCAAACAAAGCCTATATCTATATGACTAGACATTAGTAAAATAGGAAAGAAATGAATATAACATGTATCTGATAGTGGCATATAACTATATTTTCCTGACTAGAAATAGATCGAGCAGTTGCCTGCAGCACCAACCCGCCTATGACTCCATAGCTAATGTTTCTGAATAACCCTGTTTTGTTTTTGATTTGATAGAAGTACACTGGGAAGAAAGCTACAACAAGCAGCAGTTTGTTCCAGGACTGATCCCAGGCATGCTCGTCAACACCCGAGTATGGTTATCAATAAAAGGGACACGAAGATCTCTTGTTTCAGGATTCTCTATGGAATGTGCCCTATTTTGTTCTAAGACTAGAAGGAAACAAGCAACCGCACAACTCTTTTTGGTTACCTAGCAAGTAAGGGATGGCCCTTCTGCGAGATAGGAAAACTGTTATATTCTTTTTTGGTTTTTTTCATGAAGTGTGTCTTCATAGATATTATATCTATATTTACTTTAATTTTTGACAAGTATTGAGCTAAGAATGTTTCTTGTGATTTATGTGAGGTTATGAAGAAAACATTTGGTTTCAGTGCCATTATGTTAGTGTGGGCTACGGTCATGTATTGATCTGTAATATTTAATGTCTAATGAAACGTCTGATGATATCAACAGGTATTGAGCTCAACTATCTGCTCGTCTTTTTTCTTGCCATTGTGCTATTGCCTGCTTCATTCTCTTAAAGATCAAGGTTTCTACACCATTTGCAACTCATTTCAGGCTAGCTATCCATTAAAAGATTTTGAATTTGAGAACAATGTTTCTATGGCAATGGCTATAATAAAGTGGCAAGTAGTTTTATTTTTCGTGTGAGTGACCCATCAACCTTTGCTTAAACTTTTATTGAAGTGGTGGAAGTGCATGTAAACATGATATTCAGGAACAGATATAGTTAATATCATTATATATTTGTTATATTCAGACTTGACCGTGGAGCACAAGAAATTATTAGGTGCGGAGACCGGACGTAGAGATACGTCTGGATTCCACTTAAAATTTGATGCATGGAGTGCACTTTGGTTGCACTTTTTTGTGTGCTTTACTTGCATTTTATCTGAGTTTTACTTGCACTTTAATTGCACTTTGATTGTTCTTTTATTGCGCTTTTTGACTGCGTTTTACCTGCACTTACGTTTTGGCTACGTTTTTGGTGCGTTTGGCTTAAAGTTTTGCGGACACATTAAATATATAAAGTAAAAAATAAATCCAATTGAATATCCTCGTGTTTACTCCATCTGTCAACATTTTATTGGAGTCTGGACGTACCTCTACATCTGGTATCGGCACCTAATAATTTCTCATGGAGCACACCAAATTATACCACTTAGTGAAAAAAGAGAGGAGAGAGAGAGAGAGAAGAATTTAGAGTGAGAAACTTAAAGATGTTTGTAAAATAAAATTTTAAGTATAAAAAATTGCATAAATTGATCTCTTATTTAAAGATTTGCGTTGGGGATTCATCATTATAAGATTGATTGCATACATGATTGTATAGAAAATAAGACATGATATTGTGTAGCATGATTAGAATATATCATTTGATGAAGTTTAACAAACTCCCAATAAGTTGCTAGCATGGTGTGTATTTATGATCAAATAGTCAAGTAGTTGATCAATATTTTTCCTAAAAGAAGTCATCCTCTTTGAATAGTCACTAGAGCTAATTTCACATATCGTACTCATTAGAGCTAATTGATAAGGTGTATTCTTCGACGGATTCTTAGATAGTAGTTGTTAGCGAATTTTTTGTTGACAAGCAAGTCCTTAAGTTGAGTTTGAGCATATCGAGTTAGCTTGGTTTGAATTGAGTCGACTTGATTTGAACACTCTATTTTTTTTATCTATAGATTTACATTTAGTTTATCGATTCTCTTATATTGTCGAAAGTTTTTTACTAAAAGAATAATAGAACATATAAAAAAAAATATTATTCTTTGATTATCATAAAATTTTCATAAATATCTATTTAAAGTTTCATTTGAACAGTTGTCTCATTACTTTTTAAAGTAGTTGATAAGATTAACATTTCAAATTATAGTTGATATATCATCAAAAATTTATCTTGATTGGGCAGGAATCTTGAGGCAATTTCCTATTAGAAACATCCAGGATTAAATCCAGAGTCATATGAACTCCGATTTCAACAAACTTTTAGTCGAATTGACCGTCGAAGAGTTGAACCTAGCAACACCAAATGTGATCCAATTTGAGCCCCAATGCTTCCAAAGTCGGAAGCACGTTTAGAATGTTAGAAGTATAAATTAGATGATCAAATGATTTTCAAATGTAACATGCTTATTGTCGAATCGAGCAACTCGTCGAGATAAATCCAACTAACCCAAAACCATCGAATTATGACAACATTAAGGCAGTATGCTCGATAAACAGTCTATGATCAAGGGAATCAATATCGGTCCTCCATAAAAAACACTTCCAATATGCTCTTGATCTTCACCCTATTTATTAGTCATGTCACTCCCAAAAATTATACATATACCCCTATTCTTCAAAAGGGGGTGGGAGAGAGAAAAAAACAAGAGGAAGAATAAAGAGAAATCTAATAACTATCTTGCCACCATGCTCCTCCTCGACTACCGCCCAGCCACCAGCAATTGATGGACTTCTGCCCAACCTCCAGCAATCATTGGACTTTTGCACTACCACTAACCGTCATCGTACTTCTGTCAGACCAACGACTGTCGCCGGACATCTGTTTGTCCACCGATGACACTAGACTTCCGCCTAGCCACCTACCGTTGCCAAACATCTGCCCAGCCCCGCTCGGCCACCAACCAAAGACGAACTTCTACTCGGCCACCGATCGATGCAGGACTTTGGTCGACCATTGACCTTCGCCAAACTTCTGTCTAGCCACCGACCGTCACCGAACTTTTGCTCAACCATTAACTAACGCTAGACTTCAACCTTGCCACCGACCATCACAAGACTTCTGTCGGCCCAACAATCAAGGCTAGACTTCCACCCGGCCGTCGATTGACGTCAGACTTTCGATCAACCACAGACAAACATAGAACTTTCTCCCGACCTCTGACTGACGCCAGACTTTCTCCCAGCTATTGATCGACGCCAGACTTTCTCCCGACCGTCGACTGTCGCCTGACTTTTGTCAGGCATACGATTAACGCCAGAGTTTCTACCAAATTTTTCAAACTATTGTAATTTAATCGTCCTCAAGTTTCAAGACATGGATCATTTTAACATGTTCAAATACTAGTGTAATCATTTTGACTGGACATGACCCTGTGGTTTTTCCCTTTTCTTTGGTTTGAGATGAACTCCTCTGATAAATTTCTCATGCTATCCTCAAGCGGCAAGCCTGGATATGACTCTATTCAATTGTAGGAGGAACTATTCCCATATTCGTCAAGTTGGCCAAAATGTTTGTCGAATAATTTATTGCCAATCAAATAATTGTTAAAAATTTTTCTTACCTCGCAGGAATTCCCCAGAGTGAAAGTGACTCGCTCAAAGAATACTTTTAAAGATTTTCTACTAAAGCTCGTCAAATTCTAAAGGTGGATCTTAAATTGCTTATAAGAGTTTTCCTTAAAAGGCTTTATCATGACTTTTTTTACTCAGTACTCATGCGAGACACTTTTCATTCATACGCTGACATAATCCATCGTACAAACACAAATCTATGCAGATGAAACCATCAATACTCATAGAAAACAGTTTGAACAAACCAACGAAAAGCGCAAAAGTGCACCATGGATGGATAATTCATCCTCTCAACAAAAGAAGCAAGGAAATTATAACATGTCCCCTCAACCCTCGCAATCACGACGTGAGCCTCCACAAGAAAAAGAGTATGCAAGACTTAGCGTATCTCGGGCAAATGTATCAAGAAGGGCTATCCGAGATCAGGAGAATGTGAAGTGGCCGAATTCTTTAATACCAGAATTTTATATAATTTTAACACTATGACATTATATATATGTATATTAAATGTCAGAATTTTATTAATGGTATTATGTTAACCTTCAAATTTTAGCACTAACGAAACTGCTGTAAGTCCAAGAATTTATATATATATTATACAATCCCTATATATCTAAATATCTAATATTTAAATATTTTTTTACTTAAAATTTAGTTTGTTATCTAAATTATATTAAAGTACATGTATGAAAATGTGTATTTTATTTTATATAAATTAATATTAGTGACATTTTTAATATGATTTGAGTATTGTCTAAGTAAATGTAAGGATTTAAGTATTAGGTAAATAACAACAGAAAATTTTAATGGTTTATAAGTAAATCCCCTTTCATTAATCCATTTTGCAGAGAAAACTCAATCTAGAGCGGAAGGCCCAACACTGCCACTCTTCATTGTGTGGGAGGGGCGGCAAGCGGCGGAAATGAAAGTCCTCTTCACGACGCTGAGACGGCGATTGGTAGGCTCGCCGCTGCGGCCTCCGGCTCTGACTTCTCTGTTCAACCTTTTCTGCCCTCGCAAGTATGAAGCCGAAAGAGCTTGGCGGCTCAGTAGCTCGTACATCTTAGGCCCGGACCTTCCCGACATCTGGAAACATCCCAGCTCGGCACCTCCAACCCTTCCTTCACACTCCACGAACCAAGGTAATAGTTTCGTCCTCAGACTGCCACTGGGTAATTTGCGCAAATGGGTAATGTGCGAGTAGGTGAAGTCAAACTTTTCGGGAATAGGTGAAGTCAGGTTCTCGGTTGAAAGTTGGAACCTTTGTTTAATGGGATTGTTATTGGATGCCTTGTCTTCTGAGCTCTTGCTTTTTGTTGATTATTACAATGCAAGTAATGGTGAAATTGGGACATTTGGCTTTTAGGATCGTTTATGTTAAAACAGTTAATGAATGAATGTGATTACGAGAATGTTGGATGAATCATGAAAGTAGAGTTAAGCTTATATTTTTTTTGTATAATGCGAATTATAAGTAAGGTAAGAATAGTCTGAAAATTACTGTCTTTAGGGTATATTTGCTTGTTTGTGGAAAGAAAAAATGTTTTAGAAAATAATAATTTTGTTTTCACTCGTTTTTCATATTAAATTGAATCATTAAAATTGAGGAGATGTTGAGAGGCCTTTGTAACATAGTCAATGTTGATGTCTAACTAAACCCAATCAATTAATGTATTTAACAATTTTCATCATTTTTTTTTTTTTGGATGGTGAGCGCAAATCATATGGCTCAAACTCATGATCTTGCATAAAAAACTCTCTTTTAACCAATAGCCCACAGGTCCTTGCAAATTTCAATAGTTTTTAAATTATCTTTTCTAACTCCATGAATTAAAACTAGACCTATGGGAGATCCATAATTTTAGAACTTTAAAACAAGCCCATAAGAACATGCTATGATATATTGCTTTAACTAAAAAGAAGGATTCCTAGATGGGAAAAACTAGGTGAGGGAAGGAAAGATTGCGCACTGAATGCTAATGCATGAAGAATCATGAGTTCATACAATTCGGTTTGTGCTTATTTCTGTGTTAAGGTTTTGTGGCTGAACACTGTGGAAGCTACTTCTGTAGGCTATCATAAAGGGTTAGTTTGGGACGGCTTTTTCACAGCCGCTTAAAGCAATAAGAATGCCGTCTCAAATGAAGCCAAAGTCTACTGCTTTTCATTGTTTTTTTAAATTGTTAAAGGTGATACATGAATATTAGATGTCTATCAATTACATCATTGTCTTTTTCCTCAACAACTTAAACTCCATCTTGGAAAAGTTGAGGGGCCTATGGCTGCAAGGACTTTAAGGTTTGCTTGTAAGTTTGATATAGTAAGGTTGAATTGGTTTGTCCTGCTTTTGGTCATAATCTTAATCCTTATTTTAGTTCAGTTTGGTAGCAAATTATGCAAGTCATATTCTTAGACACCACCATATTTTACTTGTGATTAATTTTCAGTTACATGTGCTATTATTATTTGAATCAGATTACATGTGCTATTAGTATTTGCAATTCAAACTAAGTATTGTTCCCTTGGTGCAAAATAGAATTGGCACCTCATATTACACTCAAAAGGAAAGGCTGGAGGAGGATTCATAAAATAAATCCCAAATAATTTGGAAAGGCTGATAGTGATGATGAAGATGATGTTGACATTTCTATTTGTTCATATCAATCCTTTATTAGGATAACCCGTTTGAGCATTTTATTACTAACCTGTTTGTAGGCGGTGATGACCTTAATCCAACAATTATCAATGGAAAGATAATTGCAGAAGAACTAAGAACAGGAATTGCAGCAGAGATACGCCAGATGAAAGATGCAACTGGAAAAATCCCAGGTCTAGCTGTTGTGTTGGTGGGCAAGCGAAGAGATTCACAATCTTATGTCCGTCATAAAATAAGGGACTGTGAGGAAGTTGGAATCAACTCTTTCCTGGATGAGCTTCCTGAAGATTGTCCACAAGATGATGTAGTAAATGCTGTATCAAACTTCAACAAAGATCCATCTGTTCACGGTATTCTTGTGCAACTACCTTTACCAAAAGTAATTTCTTTTTCTTTTGCTGTAAACTTACAATGCTTGAATATTTTTACGCTTTAAGGTTTTACTTGGTTTCGTATCAGTATACATTAATTCTTTACAATAAAATCTAGTGTCTTGGTTATCTCAAGCTGTGGTAGTAACAAATGCGACTAAAGTGCTTGAACATGGAATGATACAATTGTTGGGCTCATATATTAGATGCTATTTAAAATTGAGCCAATTAAATTCATGATTCATTTAAGTATTAAATTATTATTTGACTTATGTGGCATCTCAATTAAATTTTTATGGAATTAATTATTTGTAGAAGCCGAGTATTTATTTTATTTTAATGATGGGTTGAAATAAAATAAATACATTTAAAGTATAAAGAGGTCGTGGTCTCCAGTTTAAGTGGTTAAGTTCTTATTTCTCTCATTTCCCATCTTGAGTGAAAAAGAAGGGGTCTATTGCTTTATGGGAGAATGACGCTTCAAACGTGGATGACCGAAAACCTCGATTTTGCATTTCAATGGATTCAGATATGTTTCCGATAATTCTTCTTAATGATTTGACATGTCCTTCGGAGACGATGAAATTAATCTTCGGTCTCCATTAAATCCTAACAACAATGACCTAAAAATCTTGTTTTTGCATTGGAAATCATTAAATCACTACTTTCCCCGTTCACATTTTCATGATCTGTTGCAAGCAGCATATGGATGAGGAGAAAGTTCTAAACACGATTAGTCTGGAAAAGGATGTTGATGGCTTCCATCCACTAAATGTGGGAAATCTCGCAATACGAGGAAGGGAGCCTCTATTCATTCCTTGTGCAGCAAAAGCTTGCATTGAGCTCTTGCTAAGATCTGGTGTTGAGCTAGTGGGTAAAAATGTGGTTGTTATTGGACGAAGCAGAGTGGTTGGGCTACCTACTTCCTTGCTATTGCAGGTAATGCCTACAAAACTTAAAGGTTTTATTAATCAACCTGCATTGCAGGCATTAATCTGAGCTTTCTGCAGAGGCATCATGCAACTGTGAGTGTAGTTCATGCTCACTCAAAGGACCCGGATCGAATCACCCGAGAAGCTGACATTGTAATCTCAGCAGCAGGAGTTCCTAACCTGGTTCGTAGGAATTGGCTTAAAAGAGGCGCAGTTGTCATTGATGTAGGAACAAGTCCAGTTGATGTAAGTGCTCATTCCATGTTCATGTGCATCTCTACATCTAGGGGCTGACCCTAATACCAAGACGTTTTTTTTCTTTCCAATTTGTCTCGTTCATGTTTTGATTTGCAAATTCATAACTATTAATATTTAGTTAAAATGCCATTCACTTATGCTGCATTGTCGCGCCACGTCATCAGGGGCCCAGTACATCCGGGTGATGTGGCGTATCCAGATTCGCCTCCAGACGGTTCGGACACCGCACATAATAATATCTCATCTAGGAAAATTATTACGTGCATCGTCCGGATTCATTTGGAGGCGAATATGGACTCGCCATGTCATATGGGGCCCAGTGCATTCGGGTGATGTGGCGTATCCGGATTCGCCTCTGGACGGTCCGGACACCACACGTAATAATCTCTCATATGGGAAAATTATTACTTGCGGCTTCTAGATTTGTTCGGAGGCGAATCCAGATGCGCCTCTAGATGGTCCGGACACCGCACGTAATAACATCTCATATGGAAAAATTATTATGTGAGGCGTCCGGATTCGTTCGGAGGCAAATCCGGACGCGTCACATCATCCGGAGCCCAAGGCATCCAGGTGACGTGGCACTTCCGGATTCACCTCCGGACTGTCCGGACACCGCATGTAATAATCTCTCATGTCATCTGATGCTAGGATCCCAGTAGCGAACATGGTTATTGCCTCACAGGAGATGTTTGCTATGAAGAGGCATTGCAGTTAGTCTCAGCTATAACGCCTGTGCCAGGTGGAGTTGGACCAGTTACTGTTGCCATGCTTCTTTCCAACACTCTTGACTCCGCTAAGAGGGCATTTGGTTTGAGCTGAGAATGCTGCAGGAGGGTTTGTGTCTCAAGATGGGTTTATCATTCAAAATTTCCTCACTTTTGTTTAGGTTTCGTAGTATTTGAAAAGAATCCATATAAGTAAAATAGCTCTTCCTTTCTTCAATAGGTTAGGATAAGCACTATAGCATTAAATGCTTTAACATTTCCTTGGGCATCCTGCTGCTGTAGTCTTTTCAGTAAAAAGTTCTGTAAATTATAAAAAAATAATGATAGAAGATTTTTGATTGTTTTCAGAAATGAAGAAATGTTTCATTTGTATGTAAGGTCACATTTACCACTAATTTTGGACGATGGGAATTTCTATAAAATCTATATTCAGTTATCGTTGATCGAAAATTTAGCTGTACAAAGGCTTGGACTTCATTTGAGACAATTTTATTATTGCCGTTACTAAAAAAATTATTTTTTTTCTAAAAAACTGCTTTAAAAAGCAGTAAGAAAGTTATCCCAAATGAAGTCATGGTTACAATTAAATTCAGATATAATTCAAGTTTTTGGCTGAGTATGTCTCCATTGATGATGCAAGTTTGACAACGAAGAACACCATGATCAAAATGCCTACTGAAGCATCTGGTACCTAGAAGAACTAGTACCCATTTCCTTAAAACTTTGCTTGAACCCAAAAATCTCCATTGGTGGCAAGCAAAATATCCCATTTCCTGGACTTGAATCTTAAATCTATGGCTATTCATGAAATGCAAATTTAAGGAAACCGAGAAGCTCCTTGTATAGATGCAGGCCAGAGGGTTTAAATCATTAAATAAGCCATAGCCATTGAGCATGTGAACGTGTAAATGTTCAATGAAATAAGCATAACTTGTATAATCAGATTACTTCAACTTTGAAAACACAAGCAGACTGTTTATTACTATAAACTTAAAAAAAATGCTATTAATTCACAATGATTCAGGTAAATGAAATGTTCTGCTCTGCAACCCATGCTTGGTCAGGCTTCAGTTGAACTCTGCCAACCTGATGAAAGGGCAAAAAAGTTAAAATGACAAGAAATTTTACTAGAATAATGTGTTAAGAATGAGAGATTATTCTGTGCGGACACCGGACGGGAGAATCGTCCCATACCGCTTGGTACCGAGCACGGTGTTGGTACCGGCGCTCGGTACAGCTCGGTACTGAGTGCGACACGCTTTTGGGGTGACGTGACATATTCTTATTGGTCTTTGAATGATGTCCGAGTCTGCACAGAATAATTTGTTGTTAAGAAGATAGCTATGCTACCTGTGCGTTTTCAACGCAAACAAAATCTCTGTAACAGGATTCCATTTGCGTGTGCGGGTTCCATAAGACAGTATCAGGCCAGCTGAACAGATCGTGAAGAAACATATGGTTAGTTAAAATTCACAACAGAACAAAATGGAAAGAACATAAAAAGTAGGATAGAAGAGCACATAGCCTACATACTTGGTGTTCCTGATGGTTAAGGTATCACCCAACCCATTTTCAAGCTGTAGCTCATTAGATGCGCCAAGGTAAATGCAGTCAACAAATCCAGGAAATGTGACTACATCCCTACATAATATGTACCTTTGTTACATTAGATGATTTGCAATCATATTGATTAATGGCAGCTAGTATTTATAAGAAAAGACTTGGTTAGAAAATATTAGAAATGATATTTCTTTATTAGATTTAAATGAGAATTTGACTTTTAACCGGACACAATGGCGAAAAAGGATTCATGTAGCCGACCCCACGTAGTGGGACAAAGACTTGTTGTTATTGTTGTCGTATTTATAAGAAAAAGTCTATGACATCAGTTCTGTTTGTAGTTCAAACCGAGCAGCGTAATTGCGTAACCGGCCGGACCATTCTCATAACAGTATAAATGTTTTGGGAAGAGATTGGGTTTTTCTTGTGAGATAGGATTTTTGTTTTTGCCAATCACTTTCCTCATTTTTTGCTTAGCTAGAAGATTGTAACTATTAGTACGGAAAGATATATAACTTTGTATTATCTTAATTACTGCATGAGGTGGCACTCATCTATTGGTTTGTATGTAATGAGGTCATCTCCATCTTCTATATATACATGTCCTCCATATGAATGAAATCAGAGCTTTACTTTCTAATTCTTATATTCTCCTTTCTCTCTTTCTTCTTCTTGCGGCTTGTGTTCTTCATGGTATCAAGAGCTCGGCAAGCCAATCCTCTCCAATGACAAGCTCTGTCACGTCTCATCCCGGCGAACAACCTTATGCGGAAGATCTTGAAGATTCATTCATATGGAGGACACGTATATATAGAAGATGGAGATGGCCTCATTACATACAGACCAATAGATGAGTGCCACCTCATGCAATAATTAAGATAATACAAAGTTATATATCTTTATGTACTAATAGTAACTTTAGTCATCACTGGGGATTTTATTGCTCTTACAGGGTACTCTTAAATTACTCTTAAACTATCCCCACACCCACATTCCCTTCCACTCAACCTTTATGTCGTCGTCTCAGTAACACGGCCATTGAAGGCTCTGTCTGCCTGCTCTACTAAATTACAATATAAAAACCCAAGCCTCAAGTTGATAAATGCTTCCCTTTCTTTCCTTCACAGTCTAATGTAGAAAAAGGATTAATATACTGTCAAGTTACTGACGGGTTCTTAATGGTGATCTCCTTCTTGATCTTTTACTTATTTCCCCTGTTGAATTTGCCTTTGTAATGTTTGTATTCTTTCTTAAGTTCGCCCTTAATGGAAAGATAAATGAATTATACTTGTAGAGAGGAAGAGAGGGAGTTTAGAGAGAGAATAGAAGGATATTGTTGGCTGGGGGTTCCAAGCATTGATACTAACTTGCCTTGTGGATTTGTGCAAAAGAGAGCCTGTAAGAGTGGAATTTTTTATTTGGAGCGGACAAATACCTAAAACTTGCTATACTTTTAAGCCAAATTGAAATCAACCCAACGGCTTAAAATCTAATTTGAAATGATTTTGAAAATGAAATGGAAACTATTGTATATTATATAGTGCTTTAAAAATCGAACCAGACAGACATTAGACTGAACAAATTATATGGCCGGTTCAATCCCACCTTGATTATAATTCCCATAGCTAACTTGCAAGAACTAGTGAGAACAGCCTATTCAACATGCCAACCGGCAAACCATTCTCATTTTCTTTGAATTGGTCAGTTTAATTGCTATCAGCTATCCCATTAAGCACCATTGATTAGGTTTCAACCAAACTGAATTATTTGATGATTGACAACTCATTTAGCAAAAAACATTAATGTCAAATAAATTAATTTAAATTTAACAATTAATAAGCAACAACTGAACCAAGCCTTTTCACAAACCCCAAGGGTAAAAAAATCATACCAAACAACGAATCGGAAGAAAAAGAGGTTCATGATTCGACCGGTCGAACCGGATGATGTAATAAATAATAATATTATTAAAAATTGCCTCCACAACCATTTAACATCATATGACTCTTATGGATTTCATTGAAACTCATTACCTTCACTTATTGATGAAGACTTATTATCTTAATAGCATAGTTTCATATTAGGTGGGCATCAGTTAATTCTATAAAACATAAATAAAAATACTGTCACAGCAATTAAGTTTATAAACCATTAAAAAAAATTCACAAATAACTTAAGCAGGATTAATAACTAATCTAATAAATGGAGAAAAACGGTAACAACAACAACAACACCACCAAACGACACACCTTGTGGCTTCAGGTTCCCGCACAAGGTGGTCGGCCATCCTGAAGATCCTGGTTCCCGCACAGGATGACCAAACAATATTGCACTGGGGGAGAAATGCATACCTACTATCAAGCCTCTATTGTGTGTTAGGTGTTGAGGAATGCATATTATCTTCAGTTCTCTTTCTCTAGCATGTGAAACTATTAATTTAAGAATAATATTAAAAATTAAATTCTGAATATCAGATTGGTAGATTGTAACTATAGCAAATCCTTGTTGGATCAAATCATTTCACCACAACCTATATCAAGAACTTAAAATATTTACAATTCATTCTTCCAAACAAATTTAGGCTTACCTACAAATAGCTAATAAATGAAAATAAAAGTGTTAATTAATCATAATAACAAATTGAATACAAAGCACCTATTTAAATTTGAATAATTAGTTAAACTCAAAATTTTCTAAACTTAGTGATTTATAGAAGAATTTTAAAATTTTGTAAAACTAAAAGCATTTTCATGCGAGGAATAGAAAATTAAAAAATGGATCGACATATGGTAATAGCAAAATCGAACGAAAGTAGGAGATACAAAAGTGAAATACCAAAATGCAATTTAGAACTAAGCATAATTTTTCAACACTTCCACATCAATGTTGCAAACTCGCTATTCACAAACAGTTAAAAAAAATTAACAAAAATATCACCAACTTGTAGTAATAGCAAAACAAAACCTAGAAAAATTACTAAATTAGGGTTTCAAAAACTTACTTCCCACAGCTTGAAGCAAATAGGAGAAGGGAGTCTGAAGCATAGAGGCCTTCGTTCACAAACTCGACAAGCAGGAGATGCGAACGAAATGCAAGCAAGAGACGCGAAGTGAATCGAGACAATGAAGTTACAAACGAATGTGATATTAATTGCCGAATTGGAATATTAGGTCTTAACTTTGCTAATTTTTTCTTACATACCGTGTGATCTAAATGCCACGGCTGAGATTTGATTTTAAGTGAACCGAACGGTTTTTCAAAACTGGCGCCAGTTCAACGGTCCGACCGCCGGGCCGGCCGACTTTACCCCGGTTTTCTGCTATCCTGATTTTGTAGTGAAATCGAATTGTCCGGTCCGATCTGATTTTAAAAACCTTGCATACCCCTAATACATCATGTGGACTCCCAACATATGCTCTAGAAGCAAAAAATACAATATAAACATATCAAAATAAAGTTTCCAAGCGATATGAGACTAAATAACTAAGTTAAAATTCCCAAATTCCCCATGAAACATTTTTAAATAGATTTTAATTAGTTTTTTATAATATGAATAATATTTATTTTTTAGTAATTTAATTTAATTTTTATCTATTTAATTATACAATATATAAGATTAATTTTTTATACATGTATTATCTATTTATTAATTCTAAATAATATACATGAATGGTCTATAAATATAAATTTATAATGTGAATTTAGTATATGATCTCTAAGTGTAAATTTATATTTAAACATATAACATGAACTAGCAAGTAATCCAGCGATTTCTGCATGAGATGGTTCAAGTCAAAAATTAAATTGATTTTGAATCAATTTTTAGTTTGAATAGTCAAACTCATTAACAAGCTTATTTTTTATTTCCAAAATCAAAGAATATGAGATATTGTAGAGAGAGACAATAAAGAATATTTACAAATTGCATTAATAATTGATTATTAAAGCACATAAATACTATTTATAGAAATAAAATATAGTCAAACAAATAGATAAAATTAAAATTAAGGTAATAGACGGTCATAACCAATTATAACTTAAGGCTAGGTTGGTTTTATTCATTTATTTATTTATTTTTATTTGGCGGTGTGGTGTGGTGGGACAAGTAAGAGGAAATAGAAAGTACGTATGGCAAAGGGATTAGATGCAATCAATACTTAGAATTCCACAATAAGATACGTGACATAAGGCACGCCTCATGGAGAGAACATGTAAAATGCCTTAAGACTATTACTGAACCACATAAAAATTGCTTTGTGCGTTATTTACTTGCATTTTATTTTATTTGTAATTGCAATTTTAATTTCTTCACTCTGATTTAATTGATTGCCAAAAAATATTTTTACCCACCAAAATGAAATAATAAAAATTTTGGTTGCTCTTAAATAAACATAATTAAGTAAACGAAGCAAACCTTTCCTCTTTGCCCTCAATAGGATTGGCAGGGTCTGGATCTTTGTTCAGAGCCTTGCAACCTTTGAGGCCTTCAACTGTTACTCCTGAGATAGAAGCCTGTGTGATGATCAAAGTTTATGCTGAATTACTGATGTGAATTTGAAGCATAAAGCCAAGGATATTAAAATTAGAGCTAATGGAGAAGTCATAATAGTCCATTCTTACACTAAAGTATGTGTGCAAGGCCGTGGTAAAAGAGAAGGGCTTCTTGTCTGTGTTTGTGATGGATAAGGCTGTTGAAAAACTCTCAGAATGTAAAGTGACCTGCAAGGGTATTTATAAAATTCTTGAAACAACGGCATTTTGTAAATCGAATTCAAATAAAATCCATTAATAATATAAGCATCTCCTCAAGCAAATGTAAACCAATTCAAATATGGCTAATCCATTTGTTTTAAGAGCTGATAGGCTACATTCAAGAGCACTAATTTTTTGTGAAATCAGGAATAGCAGGCGTAAGATAATTATTGGGTTAATTTCATAATTTTCGAACAAAAAAAAAGGTTTTACTACAGGACTTTTTTTTTTCATTTTAGGGGATCTAAATTAAAAGTGGATCAAAGATAGCCCTGAGACACTAGTAATGAAATCCATTTTCTACCCACAAGAGTAAGATTTTGGGTGAGGGACAACTATAGAATTTTCCCCACAATAGATTTTCACCTAAAGAGGATTTTAAGTTTTTCTAATGCAAATCTAGAATGAGATGAACAAAACCATGCACATAAAATCAAATTTGCAATTTATAGGCTGAAATTTAAACAAATATTTTTCTGTTTTGATGGAAACAGAAACAACAATCAAGATTCATATAAATGATAATTTAATAATCAAATAACAATTTAGCATAAAAATTTCAGGTCCTAAAAAATCATGCATCTATTATAAATCACAAAAAGATGAAAAACTTAAATTGTAAGAGTTTTGACTAAATGCAATCACACAGGCCAATAATTAAAACTAAAAATATAAAAAAATGAAAGAAGAAATTACCAAAATAAAAATCCAATTCTTACACGTGCACAAGGAGATGACTTCCCTCAGACTTTGATAACAAAGTAAATTACTAGACGGGTATTAAACAGCATTGATAAACATGCATTATATGGGAGATTATAAAAATATAATTTAGTTAAAATCTAAATTATTACAATAATTTCAATTAAAAATTATCCTCGATGAGTCAAAATGAGACAGAGAGGAATATTTCTCAATAATATGAGAGTATAATATGTTAAATGCATGTATTATACTTTTAAAGGTTAAATTTTGTATATTTTTCATACTTTTGGAAAGACACAAAAAGTAAATTTTTTTAAATAATTTGTCCATCCATTTATTCTTCTATGATGCACCGATAAAATGAAATAAACCTTGCTATAGCTAATCATAAACTTTGTTGATATGAAGTAAACTTTTAGCAAACTACTCATGGAATCTGTGCTATAGCTTCTTGCTCATGACATATATTCCATAATATATGCTTAAGTAGTTGATGGATGTAATTGCTAATAATGTTCTTTAGGTGATAATATTGGCTAGCCAAGAATTCCAACATATAAAGTGATTACTCTTTTGGACAGGTAACTAGAATTCATCTGGTTGGTGGAAACATTTCTCATATTTTAATATATATTATGACGAGTCTAACTACGAATGAATCTGATGTTCTATTTTTGGACATATAAATATATATAATGTGGTTGCACATGGAGTCATGGATTTATTCATAAATAAATGGATTTATTCATAAATAGATGGATTCATCAATATTTTTCATGCTAAAGCTTTGACTATATAAATTCCATCATATTATAAATTGATGTAGATTAGTTGAAAATTATTCCTGCCATGTTAAATATTTCTAATTTGATGCAATAATGACACTTGTTATATTAATATGCTTTGTTGCTAGTGCTGCTTTGATTGATCACACATTGCATTTCCTATGTCTTGTCAATTATGTTTTATAAATGGAAATTATCTATCAAGTTTGATCGACAATCTTATATATTGCCAATTTTTCTCTTAAAAACTTATCAGGTAATAACACGAACAAATTCATCAAAAGCAGATATACTTTTGGTTCAATCTTTGTTTTTGCTAGTAGTAGTTATTTGTTTAGACACTTGTTGGCCTTGGCTTTAGTTTCATAATAGTAGTTGATCCCTTCCTTTCATTAGTTTGACGGTTCAATTCACTCGAAGATATTATATTAGTATTTTGTTTCAATAAAATTTCATTTCATAAATCTTACTATTATAAATTTATGGTTATAAATTACTTTCACCTAACCTTAATTCATGGCCCTGCCTTGCAAGTTAATGTTAAATTTTCATAATTTCCTATATTTTCAGAATGTATGACTGATGTAGAATGGGTAGGAGAGCTTTGCTAGGGAGAGGATCTCTTCTCCACCAAAAATCTGAGAGAAAATTCTCAGATTTTAGTGGTTGGGAATTTCATGGGGATGAAGAAAGAACTCTCCGGCCGTCTTGCTAAAGGTCTCAAACGTCGTCGAAGAGGAAGAGGTTTCTCTTGTATGGAAGATGGAAGAAACTCCAAGTACCTTCTAACTAAAATCTGGATGGTCCTTCAGAAAATTTGAATGATTTCCGCTTTTCTCTCAGAAATCTGAGAAGAAATTTCTCTCTCAGTGCTGGGAAAAGGTATTAGAGGTAGCATACGTTATGGAAGTAATCCACATGTGAAGCCAAGGTGGAGAGGAGGTATGAGAGGGAGGGGAGATACGGGAGACAGAGGGGGAAGGCTGGCGGGATTGAGTAGGCGTGGAATCTATTTCCTAAATTCAAGCTCTGATTTCTGGACATAAATTAGAGCTTGGTTATTAGGAAAAATTTCAGCCAATAGGGACATAAGGATTTGAAATTATTTCCTAAAGGCTGGGTATAGATTTAGGCAATACTTAATTGAGCCTTGATGGGCTAGGGAAGAGGGGCCGGCGGCATTATCAGGTGGATGGGGTTTTAATGCATTAGATTGTGAATACTTAATTTGGGTTTGGGGTTTATGAAAGAAATAATTCAATCTTATTTGAATTTGAAATTCAAATAGAAGTCATTTAAAACTTTCCAAAAATGGAATGATAAATTAGGAAAGAATTCAAATTTCAAATTAGTTGAATTTGAATTTTGAAACTGCCCAAAATTTAATCACCCAAATTAAGTTTGAATTACATCATGAATGAGATTCAATACTTTCCTAAAATAGCTTTCTAATTTAGAAAACTATTTCAATAATTTCTTAAATTATTTGAACTCTTTCGGTAAGCTTTAAGATGACATTGACTCCTCATTCATGGATATAAACACGGGTGGCCGGCAGTGGAAGAGCTAATGGGGGAAGGTGGATGGTGGCCGGCAGCTAGAGATTGGACCGGCGGTATGAGGGGTGTTTGGCCGTGAAGTTGAGGGAGAGGAAAAGATGACTACTAGGAGCAATACAACGAGGAATACAAAGACGGAACAAAGAAAACAAAACCCAAAGATAGAAGATAAAACGAAAGAGAGAAAATAAAAACCGCGAGCCTCGGACTCTTCCGAAGACTGACGGGTGATCCGTTGCCCTTCTCCAAGGGACTTCCAATCACGAGCCCGGACCCATCATGCGGCTGGTGAAACTCCGATTCCTTACCATAGGAATCTCACTCTCGTCCTCTCTCAAATAGAACACAAGTGTGGACACAATTTTTTTTTTTAATATCAAATCTTCATCCCCATTACAATAGCTAAAGACCCTATATATAGGCCACAACATGAGAAAAATCAAAAATTACAAAATTGCCCCTTGGGTCATAACACTCACATAAACTATCATAGGGGTAAAACAGAAAATACATTAATTAAGAACTAAAATTCATAAAAATAAATCATAATTGAAGGTTTAAATTATAGCCGTCAATTTACGACGCCTCCTGTGATAGATGCGTCAAATCTTCATACCGATGTCCGTATCAACGACCTTCTAAAACTAGAGAGTTAAATTATTGGCAGTCGCTCCTTAAATGAAAATTTTCAAGATATTCAAATATCATGCACCAAAAGCCCACCCAATCACATGGTATCTTCATGTGATCCATCTACTCTTTAAGCTAGCTTAACTATGGTTACAACCCTCTAAAACTCATGGGAGCCACAAGCACATCAACCACTCAATTCATGTCAAGCCTTTGACTATGACATAAATTGTTAGTAAAATATATTTTTTCTGTGAAAGCCCGCATCAAGAATAAATATGATGAATATAAAAAGTAGTTAAAAAGAATTATGCTTATCCTAAAAAATTATTGAGACGATATCCTAACAATCCACATCATTAATCATATTGTAAGAATGAGGAGCATAAATTACGTATCACTTCAAAAAAGGTTAATGTTAGAAATTGACCTTGTATAAAGCTTGAAAGCTAAAATCCCACATTGAACGAGTGTAGGGGTCATCCTTAAGTTCCAAGGTTACAACAGGCTCACCTTCATTATTTTGAGAATCCTTAAGAGACCATTCCATGTTCCTTGCAAATCCATGCTGCCAAAGAAAGGAATCATGAGGAATAACATGGAACTCAAAAGCACATACATGAAGCAGAATGAACTTGATATCCCTATGTGAAGTGCTGGATAATATAAACAAACAAATCAGCTCTGCAGAAGAAGTCAAGAATTATTCAATGATATTAGAAAATAGATGAGAACTCACCGTTAGAATCATCTTCTTTGGCACTGATATGCTCAAAATGACATGATTGGATAAGTTCTATGGTTCTATCCTGATTTCAAATTGTATGATAATCACATCGGTGAAGGCATAGATTAATCACCAAGTAAAATTCTATATTGCTAAAACTATGACGAGCAAAGTTATCCAAGTTCTATACTAAGAGATGTTGATAAATATATGATTTTTAAATGATTCCTCAACTATTTGTATGTGGCCAATATAGTCCATCCTCACCCTCTTACACTCAAACATCATATTTTCAAAATTTTTAATATGAGTTCTCACAATGTACGTTAGTTTAACATTAGACTTATGTTAGATTAGGCTAATAAAAAATTATTTTACAATTAAGTTGAACTCAAATTCTATAAGATGGTAGTGAGACTTGCAATGCTTTATTGTGCAGAATGTTGGTCATTAAAAGAGAAGCATAGTATTAAGTTAAGTGTTGTAGAGATGAGGATGTTCAGGTGAATGAGTGGCTTAATCAGGTTGGAGTAGCTCCCGTAGAAGATAAGATTAGAGAGAGCCGTCTTAGATGGTTTTGTCACATAAAACGGTGGCCTTCTGATGACCCCATTAGAAAAGTAGATGTATTAGATTTGACTTATGTTAAGAAAGGTAGATATACACCTAAAAAGACTTAGTTAGAAAATATTACAAATGGTATTTCTTTATTAGATTTAGATGAGTATTTGACTCTTAATAGGACACAATGGAGAAAAATGATTCATGTAGCCGAACCCACATTGTGGGATGAAGGCTTGTTTTTGTTGTTATTGTTGTACTGTTAGATTTAAATTTGATTTAGGGCAATCAATCTAGACCCTAACTACAAAAATTCCACTCATAGATATGAAGATATTGAGAGGGCTCAAAGATGTTGTGAGGAGCACATATTGACTGAGTGGATTACAAAGAAATGTTATGAAAAAAAGATCACCCCCTCATAAATGGTTCCAATTAGGCGAACAACAATGTCTCACCATTTTTACTTAGATCAACTCCTCTCTCTCTATGAGAATTGTATCTTTAGAACCAAATGACCCAAAAATTACTCAAGTAGAGGAGGTGCAACAGCTCAAAGATAGCATGGGTGTCCAGTAGGCTGGTATGCTTTTTATTAATGGTTGCTCCAAGTGAGTCACATAGGTGTCCCTTCGGCTATTAGCCATTATAAACTTATTGGTGCAATCTCTCTTTTAAATGCTTACTTTTGAATCGTTGATATTTGGCCTATTGTTATTTTCTCTTCTTTTGATTAATATAGAATATTTAGTTGGTAATCATAAATGGATGTATCATCATTTAGATAGTAACGATCATTTGTTAAGTGATTTCACTCATGGTTTGAAGGAGTTCATTAAATTTTCAATCCCACTAAGTGAAAATATATGAATAAATATGATCAAATACCCATGTCTTTAATATGACAACAAGCATATTCATACAAGTGATAATGTCATAGTTCATATCTTTAACATAAATAATTCACAAAAAAAATTATTCCATCTAGTAGGCCCAAGACATATTATTACGAGAAAGCAACTCTTATTTTGAGTTGACATCATGACATGTATTTGAGTATGATTCATATATTAATATGGTGATGAATGCATGTAGTCAACAAAACTTTAAAGAAGTGATTGAAAAATATAATTCTAAAATTAAAGAAGCATCAAATTAATAAGAAACAAAATTTTATCCTCTGATAATAGACGTTGATGAGCCTTCATGGAAAGTTTGCAAGAAATGCTCAAAATCATCAACAATTGCACCATTAATGAATTGTAAAGATAAATTTAATATATCTAATGCTTGTCCTGGTCATTATCTCTCTTATTAAGTTTATGATAAGGAAGGGAAGAAGTTATTAAGTTTTACATGTCAGACTTAAAAAATAATGAAGAAGATTGGCCTAACAATTGAGAATATTGATGTTTGTGTGAACAATTATATGATATTTAATAAAAATAATATTCAATTATAAATATTTAGTGTGGGAGGAGACTCTCGCTATAAGCTGAGGAAATATTTGGGTGCTTGATGCAAAGATATTTTATATAAGGTGCTCACTCATTTGCCATTAACCCTAATACTTCAAGGGTTGAATATGTCAAAAAAGATTGCAAAATACATGATTTTGTATGCTCGAAAAAAGAACTCCTAAGGGACTAATAATACATTCATTGAAAATCTTGAAAACATTTCAACCAAACATATACAACATTTTTTTAGGGGCGCATAGTATTCAATTTGTTATGTATGCGGTGGGTTCTTGGGCGATCCAATGTTCGATATACATGCTATCTAATGCTTGTCGTTGTGCAAAACTTACCACTATAGGCAGGGGACGACTCAACTTAAGCCTAAGGTGGGATTTGCAAAATAGTTTTACAAAATACATGATTTTTAGGGGCGCATAGTATTCAATTTGTTATGTATGCGGTGGGTTCTTGGGCGATCCATTGTTCGATATACATGCTATCTAATGCTTGTCGTTGTGTAAAACTTATCACTATAGGCAGGGGGCGACTCAACTTAAGCCTAAGGTGGGTGATTGCCCATTGTTAATTTTTCTTTTTTTTACTTCAACTAGATAGTTATTTCAATAATACCCTCCCCGTCATCAATAAATGAATTTATCTTAAAAATACAAAGTATATGGAGAAGAAAAGCTAAAAAATAGCAATATATACTCTACTAAGTAGAACACTCTCTACAAGTCCTCAAGCATTTCTCAAAAGTGTCGATATTGCTCTATATTTTCATCACTGTTTAATATGCACATGCAATTAGGAGTGTGCATTAGGTCAGTTTGACACTTTGACTTACAAATTAATTGAACCAATTTGTTTTAATTGTTAAATTTAGAAAATCAAACTGCCCAAAATATTTTTCAAACCAAACTAAATCAAATTTTGAACTTTTGTTTGGCAATTTCAGTTCAATTTTAGATGAACCAAAATATAATTAATTTTAAAAATAAACATAATTTTTGTAGCTTAAATAACATATATTAAGAAAAATACTAAGTAAACTTTTTTAAAATTTACAATTTTGCCACAAAGAATAAATAATATCTATATTGATCTTTATCTTATTTATTTATTTAAATGATTTTATTGATTTAATATTTGAAAATAATAATAATAATTCAATTCGTTATAATAAGAAAAAAATTAAAACAATAAGAAAAAAATTAAAACAATAACAAAAAATCAAAATCAAAACTAATAAAGGATAAATTTTTAAAATAAAAATGATTAAAAGTTTTTTACGTAAAAAAGAAATTGAAAAAATATATATTTTAAAAAGTAATTTTTCAATTGTTGATTAGGCAACGACTGACTTCTGACGTGGCGCAGGGAGGAGATGTGGACGTGTCGAGGAGACATTAATGGGACCCATGGCATGATGCGTGGCGAGAAGGGGCCCTACGTTGGGGGCAAGTTATTCAGAGATCAAACGACTGGCAAGGTCGGGCGGGCGAGCAAGCGAAGAGTTAGACAGGCGAGCAATTCGATCAGGAAAATAAAAATTTTAGATGTGCTAGCGCCTTGATCGGGAAATAAAAAATTTTACTTTTAGTTTTTATTTTCATTTTTTATTTCACTTGTTTTATTCTTTTTTTTTTTTTCTTCTTATTTTAATCAATTTTTTGTTTTTCATTTTATAAAAAATTATTTTTTATAATTTAAAATCTAATTATGCTTTATATACTATGACATATATATAATATATAAGAGATTTATTATACAATTTAAATAAATTAAAAAATATTTTTTTTTCTTTTAAATAAAAATTTATAATCATTTTATTAAATTTATAAAATTTATTAAATAAGTCTTCTATATATATTTTATAAATTTAAAGTATTATAATTTTAAATAAAATTAAAATAATAACTAAAATTATAAATAATTTTTATTAGAAATGATTAAAAATAAAATTAAAACAAAAAAGAGAAAAATAAAAAACATAAAAGACATATTAAGTTTGATTTATATTTATAAAAAAAGGAAAAAAAAAAAAGAGAAAACAGAAAAAATAAAGGAATGAAATAAATCAAATCGTTAACAATGCTAGCGACTGGTTTTTCTTTTCTTTTAATTTTTTTTAGTTTTATTTAATTTATAGTATCATTCATCATTATATATTTTTTAATTAAACTTTATATTTGTTATTATATTCCTTAAAAAAAATTCTCCCTATTAAAGGAAAGACTAGTTCCATTCTAAATTTAAAAAAAGAAAAATATTTCTATTTTTACTCAAAATTATTATCACGTTCCTAAAAAATTCCTCAATGCAATTTGTTAAGCCAGAATCAGAAGTTTCACTAGAATTTAAAATTTTAAGGAAAGGTCGAGCATTGGATATGTTCTATGATTAATAAATTGAATCTAGGGATTATATTTAAACAACTAAGTTTATATATTCGAATTTTATCTACGAACATAAAGATGAGTACATAAATAGATGTTAAGAGGCATGTAGATTATTACATATATAATTGAAAAAAAAGAAAATCATACTCTACTTTCAATTTATGTGTAATAGTTAGATGCATAATTTGGATGGTTGAAGTGGAGGAATGCATCGGGCTTGTTATGTGATAGAAATGTACCCCTCAAACTTAAGGGAAAATTCTATAAGATGGTAGTGAGGCCTGCAATGCTTTATGGTGCCAAATGTTGGCCTTTAAAAGAGAAGCATAATACTAAGTTAAGTGTGGCAGAGATGAGGATGCTCAGGTGGATGAGTGGCTTTACCCTTAGAGATAGGATACGAAATGAGCATATACGTGAAAAGGTTGGAGTAGCTCCAGTAGAAGATAAGATTAGAGAAAGTCGCCTTAGATGGTTTGGTAACATAAAACGGCGGCCTTGCGATGACCCGGTTAGGAGAGTAGAGGTATTAGATTTGACTTATGTTAAGAAAGGTAGGGGTAGACCTAAAAAGACTTGGTTAGAAAATATTAGGAATGACCTTTCTTTATTAGATTTAAATGAGAATTTGACTTTTAATAGGACACAATGAGAAAAAGGATTCATGTAGCCGACCCCACGTAGTGGGATAAAGGCTTGATGTTGTTGTTGTTCTAGTTAGATGCATAATTTCTTAGTGCAATATAATTATGAGTATTGAATTCCAATAAAATCATCTCCATGTACCAACATGAGTCTTGAGTTTCTTACTTTAGTGACTTCTTTCCTTGATCAATTTTTTCTATATAACTTATTATTTGCTTAGATTATATTTTTAATCAAATTTGACAAAGTCGATAATCTAATTGGGTGACTAAATCACAATAGCTCATTGATTTTGCATGATTTGAATTTCTCACTAAATTTTTTATATTCAATCACTATACCATCATTTGAGTTCCAATTCTTGTATTTACTGGTTGGCGGTTGCATTTAAAGAAAGCAAGGAGATTGACTATTGTCCATGCGATTTCACAAATAAAACACCTTTTTTCATTGATCTATTTCTTTGTCGGTATATTTTAGTTGTTTGTTATATGTGAATCCTAAATTACCTTGCATGATTTACATAAATCGCATCATTGTAGTTGCATGAGAAAAAAAGCTAATCCTAAACCACCTTGCATCAGAAAAAGGTTGTCTATGCCATCATAAACTTCATTTGGATTAGCACACAAAATAAAAATTTTTAGACTCGTACTAAGGCTTTGTTTAGAACAGCTTGTCAACTGTTTTTGTGTTAGAAAAAACAATCAATAAAAAATAATGTGCGTATAGATGACAATTGTTACACAACTTATTTAAAATTTTGTATTTAAAAAACTGTTTTTTTGAAAAGCATATTTAAAATTATGGTTGAAAAAAGAACTTTTGAAGGCATAAGCTATCCCAAACAAAGCCTAAATGAGCCTAAAACATGGTTTCCAAATATACTTTAATATTTCTCAACATTTAAATGGTCACGTGCAGAATATTATGTTTACAAAGGTGTTGGTTCCTTTGTAATCAAAATGAGCCAAAAAAAGGGGTTCACATAAGGTCTGAAATAAAGACAAAACTCTAAGCATCATTGTACATAATTACCAAGTGCACGTTATTCTTAGCAGTAGAAAGTTTCTAAGAAGAGAGGCATACCTGCTGCATAGGACCAGGTCCAAACTGTGGGAAACAATGTGGGATTCCTCCACTGCTCTGGGAAATAATCCGATCAGCTAAAGAATTCTTTCATGGGCGCAGAATGATGAAGAATATTGAATGCATTGAAATTTCAAATTTGAGTAGCCTGAGTTTAGAGAGCATAACGCAAATAATTGACAACCTAATCGGTTTCTTCCCATTGAAGACAGCATCTGGCCGAATAAAGAGGAGGTCCTTGCCATTCTCAAGCTTCCATGAGGTAAGACATGCTCCAAACAAGTATATTTCAGCCTCGCTGCACCAAACAAGAACTTTTTCAGTCTTGATGTACAAATTGAAAAGCTGCCTTAGCTTTTAAGCCGGCAGTTCAAGAAAGACGAAGAAAGAGTTTGAGATGATGATGTGTTTCATTCAATTCTTCAGGATTACATCGACTCTATTTATAGAGTTTGCAATTACAGAGATAAGCTATAGCTATTACACGTGTAATAATATTATTGGTCAATAACTTGCTGTTGAACTTTCTTGTTATTTGCTAATACAAATGAATGCTTATCGAAATATAATGCATCTCATTTTTGTGGATAAAAACCATCCATTGGACCATTACAATCAGCAAAATATTTCATCTTTATCAAACAACATGAGAATTTTAAGCAGATAACGAACAATTTCAGCTGAATTATCTGGAAATTGCAAAAGCCAAAAAGCAACTTGAGAAACTCAGCATCAACAACTGAAAAGCTAGAAAGGGAAACACACAAAAACACACTCACCTCCCATAAGCCGTGCTCAAACAGACTTTGGGGAGCCCGCCAATGCCCTCAACAACCTTAACTCCAAACGAAGCATCCTTTGTCTGGCTCATAGCGGCGGTAACATTTCCGGCGAATCTTCGAACAAAAAGATGCATTTCAATTGCGGAGATGGTTCATACACACCAAGAAAGGGGCAAATGAAGAAACAAAGAGTTCAACCTTGCCGGCTTCTACCTGCGGCGACGATGTAGGCTAGGGTTTGACGAGGATGGAATTGGGACGACGGGAAAAGCAACTGAGATGCACGCCGCCATCGTCTTCCGTTTTGCGATAATTCCTGCGCAGCGGTAATCCGATTCGGATTTCGTTGGATGCCACGACAATTTTGGACGATAATATATGCTACTATTTTATAAAAGACTTCAATTTTCTTCCGTATTAAATCTTGTCGGTGGATTTTATTTCTTAGAAAATTATTTTGTCTATTCATTATTTTATAAATATTTAATATTTTTGTAAAAAATATTTATGTAATTTAATGCCCCTTATTAATTAAGCAATTTAATATCATTTATATACACCTCATATAAAAATAGTTTTAATTCTTATAGTATTCATGATGTTTTATTAAGTATGAGTTTCATAAGTTCTTTATGGGATTGACGCCGTAAGTATGAGTTTCGTAAGTATGCATTTATACCGTATTTCTTATCGGTTACCTAATATTGCCTCTTTTTAATAGATCCACGCGGTCTTTCATCTTCGCCTTTTTGGCTTGCCCTAGCTTCCTACGCTCACCATCTTCTCCTGTAGTTTCCTCTCTCCAAATTCAGTCTCTTAAACTTCTTTAACATTTTTTCTTACTGGCATTTACTTCACTCGCATGTTTCTTTCTTTCTCCAATTATTTTGGTGTTCTCAACTTTTAAAACATTTGTTATTTTGGTTGATATCTCCTATTATTTTGGTTGTCAAGTTCGTCAACTTTTCATCACTCGTTGTAAGAAGATGAATTCAACCATCGAAACCGTTCCACAAATGATGGCTCGCTTCTCCATAAGATACCAGTCGAATCTGTTCTCTTTCTCCATCATATATATTTGCTAAAACTATTCTCACATATTTTTCTTTTAGATCTTTCCTGATTTGCATTTCGTTTCTAGATATCCACTCTGATGTGCAACTACTTGCATACAGGTCTTGCTCACCTGTTGTGCAACTACTTGCATACAAAGAGATCAATGCCTGGATGGCCACATACACAGTAGGGGCATTTAAGAGCATCATCTCCAGCAATCCTAGGAAAGATAGCTAGCTCTAAGAGCATCATCTCCAGCAAATCCAGCCTAATTTGAAATGGTATACATAGCATCAAAGATTTTTCAATTTAAACACTGTAAATTAAATATACAGCTACAGCAAATATTAGATGTAGGATAGCATAAAAGATATTCCTTTATAAAAGTAAAGGTAAGCAGTAATATTTCTTTACATTTAGGAGAAATTATTTACCTTAACCATTCCAATACCATTGTCAGAGACAAGAGGCTGGATATCTTCATTGTCTGCCATCTTCTATAACTGAATGAAAATATCATATATGTCAATCAAAATACAACAATACAACTTGCACTGATGCCGCATCAGGATATTGATGAAAATATGTAATGCAATAGAAGCATAAACTAACTGAAGTTTTGTTTGGGATGACTTTTTTACTCCTTTTAAAAGCAAATTTTCAGCACAAAAATTTTTTATCTAAAATTTTTTTTACTAAAAAAACTACTTTATAAAGCATTAAGGAAGCCGCCCCAAACAAATAATATATATATTCAAATATGAAAATATATAAAAATATCTAAAATATTATATATAACCACATTCATAAAACAAAATAATACATAATAACAAATATGACAATCATGATGATAAAATCAATAACAATTCATAAAGCCTAAATATATCACATGGAATAGTCTCATTACTTGAAAATCAAACAAGGGTTCTTTGAAGCTAAAAGTAATAATATTGGTTGACACTTGATATGTAAGTATTTAGTTGGTTCAGATCTGATGCGCACCATTTTTTAAGTCAACTCTCCTGATCAAGTCTTGAAAATATAGTTGAATTGATTTCAAATAAAATAAGCTTTCGTCCTTGAATCCAAATACAACTTCCAATTCCCTGCACCGCCAGATTACCTTCCAATTTTCTATTTCAATAGCTCCTTCCACATTCTTCACAACGCTCGCCACCGTAATGTTCGTTATATGGACGATGAGCGAATGGAAGCAGAGGGAGGTCCAGCACCAGTTCCAGCACCATGACCTGTCCACCAGTAGTTTCAGTATGATATGTTAGTTCAGAGGTTTGATCAGTGGGAAACTCAGTTTGACACCTACATAGCAAAGCAACAACAACAACATGACAATGATATGGCTCGCTTTGATAACTACGTAGCACAGTAGCAGCAACAGCACGATAATGACATAGCTTAGTTTGGGGAGCAATTTGCTTCAATCCACTGATTCATCCAACCACCACCACTACCTCCACCTAATCAGGATCCTTCATACTTTTAGTTTGTTTGTATTTTTATCCTTTTGCCTATATTATTTTTACTTTTGTGTTTTATGATGTATGTGTTTCTCTTTAGTGTTTTTATTTTAGCAGTTTCCTCCTTTTTTGATGTCAAGAGAGGGAGTAATTTGTTGTTGGTAGGTTGTACTTTGTGTTTGGAATAATTAATCTTTTCTTTTTCTTAATTGTCTGTGTGCTCTTTACTTCTACATTGTTTTTCTTATACAAATAAAAAAATCCCTATTTTTGAAAGATTCACTTAGCAAGGGGGAGTTTAGGAAATATCAAAAATATTTGATATTATTTACCAACAATGTTTGTTTCATCAAAAAGAGTGAAGAGTCTGTATTTTTAATTCTTATGTAATTCTATCTTTCTTGAGTCAAATCATATATTTGTTGGACACTAAGCTTGATAACCATGCACACACACACTCAAGGAAGTGAGTTACTGACAATATAAGAAGTTAGATTTTCTGAATTAATCATATTGTATGATCCATATTGTACTGTATGATCACCTAAATAGAAAATGATTAAAACAGCTAATTGTGATAATTAATGCAAGATGAACTAATCGTACTATACAATGTATATAACATATAAGATAATCAGGATTCCAATCGTCAATCATAATTTAGGTAATATTTTGAAAGTCAAATTTTATACTCATCATATTGGATGATAGGGATTATATTGTACGATGTAATTAAATCTTGTCTAAATTAATCATATGATTAAGGAACGAATTTGGATTAATCGATCCAGATATATTGTACAGGACAATTTGACCAATCATATTGTACGACTCGATTCTTACATGGGATGATATTAAATCATTACCAATCGCACTTGACAATAATACAAGTTATTTGAACTAATCATAATAGACGATCAGCACAATTCCTTGAACTGATAATACAGTACCTTGCTCTTCATACAGTACTAATAAGAGTACTTTGAATGAATCATACTATACTAATCTGGATCATATTGTATGATCCTAGATCATCAGAATTGAATTTAGAGCTTTTTATGAGACATTATATTTAATCTCTCTCATTAAATTTTTTTAAAGTCTTTGGATGCTGAGTGTTCTTGAGAGGGAACTTAGAGAAGAAGTTATAGGAGAGCTTTAGGAAGAAGTGGGAGAGCTTGTATGCGAGGGAGAAGAAGTATGAGGGGATCACATCATTGCTCCAAGCAAGTGTCTTGCCTTGTTCCTCCAAGTGTTTGTCTAGGTTTCTTGGGTGGCTCTAGGGAGAAATTCTTCAGCTCAAGGAAGTGGTTATCTGCCATCACCAGGAGGGTGAGAAAGGATTTTAAGGTACTCTACGTTCTCGAGGAGGGAGAAAAAGATTGAAGGTCTTCTATCATCTCCTGGAGGGTGAAAAAGCTTCCTGCTCTCCACTACACTGGGTTTAGTGGAAGGAATTTGTGTAAGGATTTCTACGCCTTGCTATGGGAAAAAATGAGAGACACTATAGTGATAGTACAATACTTGGAGTGGAGGACTCCGGGTAGTGGACATAGGTCATTGTTTGACCGAACCATTTTTAAATCTCTGGTGTGTTTTCTTTTTTTAGCATTTTACTTTTTGAACCTTAATTTTGTTATAACAACTTGGTAAAAATCGTACTCAATGCTTAGCTCTACTGATTAAAATTTCATCATTGTTATTTTCATGTTTTGATAAATTCATCTTGCTTTCACACTATATGATAATTCCTACTTATTTTTTCAAATATTAAAAAAATCCAAAAATATAGTCTTTATTTTTTAAAATTAAGCAATTAATTTTTAAATTCACAAATTCACCACCCTCTTGGTATGCCTAGGGACAAGTTCACTTAGGCTTAACATCCTTATTGAACTTTCAGACTGGAGTTGATGGAGATGATGCTCCTAGAGTGTCTTTCCTAGCATTATTGTAGATGATATAAAAGAAGGGAGGGATCTGCATAACCATTAACAAAGCCATAATCAATTAGATAAGAAGAAAAGGTAACAGATCATTGTCGAAGAGCTTGTTTAAGACCGTATATTACTTTCTGAAGCCGACATACATGATTTGGAAATTGTTTATCTACAAAACCAGGCGGCTATTTCATATAAGTAGTTTCTTGATGTTAACCATGTAAAAATGCATTGGATACATCTAGTTGTAATATAGTCCAATTATAGGAAACAACAATATTAAGTAGAATGCGAATTGTAAGAAATTTTGCAACAAGACTGAAGGTATCATGAAAATTCAAGTCAAATTCTTGATTAAATCCCTGAGCCACTAAATAAGCTTTATGTCGAGCAAGAGAACCATCCAAATTTAGTGTGGTTTTGAAATTCCATTTGCAACCTAATACATTTTGAGTGGATGATGGTGGTACCAAAATCCATGTTCCTTGTTTTTGTAAGGCTTCAAATTTAGTGCTCATAGCCTCACGCCAAATTGGAGATTTGACAGCTTGAGTGTAGGTAGGAGTGATGGTCGTGAGAGAGTGGTACAGATCAAGGATTTGCTTAGGTTTCAGAGAACCAGTTTGTAGCCGTGTGACCATCAGATGCTTGGAGGAGCATGCTTGATGTTGGGGAAGGGAAGGTGGCGATGAAGCATCAGATATTAGAAGGTCTGTTTGGAGGTTGGTAAGTGAATTTGTAGAAGGTGTGGAAAAAAGAAGGATTTGTAAGAATATCTGGAGATAATGTGGGTGATATTTGGGACGGTTGAGGTGATATGGGAGGAATAGTAGATGCAAGAACAAGAATAGAGGATGGAATGTGTAGGGGACGAGACGGAGGAGCAACTGTAGGGATGGTAGTATGAAAAGAAAAAAATTGATTCATGGAATGTAACATGCCTTGAATAGAAATGTCCAGTAGGAATGTGAAGGCATTTATATCCTTTGGCTTGAGAGGCATAATCAAGAAAGACACATGGTAGAGATCGAGGAGCTAATTTGTGTGATAATTTAGTTGGTAGCCAGGGATAACACAAGCAACTAAATGTGTGTAAATGAGAATATGATGGGGTGAGATTATATAAACATTCATAGGAAGATTTGTTTGAAGAATTGGTGTAGGTAAATAATTAATGAGGTAGACTGCTATCATGAGAGTATCAAACCACCATTTTGGGTGTACATTGGCATGAAAAAAATTTGAACATTTGAGATTTCCAAATTGGATAATTTTCGGTGAAAGATGCACATTGACCAAGGTTCGAACAGTGGACATAAAGAACATAAGTTTAGGTGGTATTGTAAAATCACCATTGGTGCTGAGAGTATGAAGAATAACATAGGAAGAAGACGAATCGACCATTGAAGAAGGTAGGTAAGAAAAATACTTATTCTGAGTGCTATGATACCATGTTGAGACCTGCAATTATTGGAACTATCAAGAAAAATAGAGAAATCAAAGATAGGCTAACCAATGGAGAAGAAAGGTTTTTCCATACTATCATTTGTTGCTACAGTTCATCCTTTATAAAGTAAAGATGGGTTAGTAATTAATGGATAGGATTACACAACAGAAATCAAGTGGTGAATAAAATCTGACAAAGCTGTGCAAAACGATTGTTGTAGCAGAGGAAATGGATAGGCTCGCCAACTTATCTTTAAATAAGAGTTGTTATCAGTTGCTCTTATCAGTAAACATACCGACATAATGCTAAATGTCCAAGTTTGCTCGCCTGTTTATTTGAAAAGTCTTTCTGTCAGTCTTGCTTAACAGTCATCTGATTTGCTGCACCTCGAAATCCTGGGTGTGATGCCAATCAATAATAAACATAGAAATTTTAAATAAATCTTGATTTTAACAATAATACCTTGTTAGAAATTGAGTTCAATTGTTAAATTATATTTATATAGCAACACAAATCAAACAATAATATTCTCTATTATTATCATTTCATACAATAAAAGGAACATTATTTAATGAATATAGTGTTTTTTTTTCCTTAGTTATTCCGCTTTAAAATATAGTTTAAATTTGATGAATCAATTATTATTGTGATTTCTTCTCAAAATGATAAATTTATACTAACTCAACTTTAGGGGTGTCAATTTTGGGTCACGGGTCGGGTTCGGGTCAAATCCGAAATTGACCCGGAACTATTCGGGTCAATCCGAACCTACCCGTTTTTTACAAATGGTTGATTTTTTGGACCCGAACCCAACCCGCTTCAGGTTCGAGTCAACCGATATGACCCGAATGACCCGGAGTCGTGAAAAAAATTGCTAATTTTTGGGTAAAAACGAGTCAATCTCTTTTTTCAGGTAAAAATGGATCTAAAAAGCTAGGGTCAATCTTAGGTTTCCGTGTTAAAACATGTCAATTTTGGGTCAAAGGGTCAAACTGAACCCGACCCAATTTTTGAAACGGGTCGAATTGTTGAACCAAAACCCGACCTATTTTGGGTCCAGGTTGATCCTAACTCAAAATTTTCATGTTGGATTTGAATCTAATTTTAAGATCGTGTCAAATATTGACAACCCTACTCAATTTAGTAAATAGCCGATGCATGAGCTTTTGGCACGACAGAAATAATTGATATCATTCACTTGAAACATTACATGAACCTCCATCCAAAACGAGAAGGGTAAGAGAGAAATACATTAACGCAATGCAAAGGTATGTAGCCCAGTACTGTTTTGGGCTGCTTATTCACACAGAAGCTTCTCCTTTCAAAGCCTCAAACAAATCTCAGCTGTACAAAACAATTAGTGGAAAAAAAAAAAAAAAACTGAAGCGCTCAACTTTGCTGAAGAAGATTAGCATGGCGGTAAATCCTTAGGTGGTGGTAATATAGATTCTTCCGGGCCGTTACCGTTCTCCACCACAAAAGCCATCTTCAGACCCCACATTGTGTGAAGCTCCAGATGGCAATGCATGAACCACACCCCTGCAACAAGTGATCAATCCATTAATAAAAAACTATACATGTTAGCTCATAACTTACAACAACGCAAGCATGCCCAGCTGGTGGCAATGCGGTTACTTAGGCCAATTGATCACCTGGATTATCTGCTCTGAACCTAATGGCCGTCCACCCGCCCGTCGGCACTCCAACGGTATTCCTCTCCGGCGGATCCACCAAGTTAAACTTCGCCGGATCGTTCGCAGGATCAAAATTCCCAATTCCCCTGCCCACCACGAAGAAATTGTAGCCATGAAGGTGAAAAGGATGGGACTCGACAGTCAGAAGGTTGGTGTCCTGAAGCACCAGCTCCACGGTGGAGTTAAACGCCAACCTGCTCAGTCTCGTGCCCAGCAACGTCCCAAGGTTCGCAGTCAGCGGCGCTCCGGTGTAATTAAACGCCGTTGGTGGCCTATCCGGAAAATCGAGCCGGAAAACCCCACTCAAATTGAAGTAATGCGCCTGAAGCAACCCCACCTTCGGCATTATAAAACTGATATTATTCAGCGAAGCCGCGAGCCGCGTCCCGTTCAAGCAGCTTTGGCAGGGGTTACTGCCGAGCCCGATGGTGTAAAACAGGTGGCGATCAACTTCCAGCGGCACGTTTCCTGAGTTCAAGCTGCGCAGCTTTGCGTTGTACGCGTCAGCAAAGGCGGAGTCGTTGGGGGCGGGGAGGAAAGGGAGGAGCGGCGTGATGGTGGTTGGAATGCCTTTGTATTGTAGAATGGCGGTAGCCGTTTTGTTGTCGACGGGGATTGGGGCGTCGTTGAAGGGTTGGGTGGCCATGAAATACCGGCCGGGGGAGCGGTCTGCGCGTACGAGGACGTTGGTGGTTTGGCCGGGAGCGATGAGGAGGGAGCCTGTGGTGAATGGCTTGATGTAGGTGGCGTCTATTTCGACGACGGTCATGTCATGGCCGGCAATTGCGAAAAAGAGCTCGTCGTTGAGCGCGGCGTTGATGATGCGGAGTAAGTAGGTCTTTCCCCATTGTACCTCGATGGCGTAGGTGTCTGATCAGGTTGTGAGCGTGAGAAGTTAATAGAGATTAGAAGCAGAGAAGATGAGAGGATGGAGGTTACATTTCTCGGAGCAGGGGAATAGAGGGCCAGGCTTGCCGTTGATGGTGTGTGCGTCGGACATGCGGGGAGGCAGGCCGAGTTTGTTGCCCTGCTTGACGATCTCTTCTACGTCAGAGTTCCACCACTCTCCTGCATTCAGGAGTCCAACGATTAAATTTCATTTGGCGATACTCAGCCGTATTTTATTAATAGCACATGCCATAATTAAAAAGATTAATAAAAATGTATCAAATTTAAAATTTTTATGTAATCTAGAGTCTAGACGTCTACAATATGGCCATCTAATAAACTTTATCACATGTGTAATATTATTCTCAATTAGGACATAGTTATATGTGTGACCAGAAGACATTCATAGGTGAATTAGAATGTGCCGCGTCATTTTTTTGCTATGCAATAGTAGTGTGGACATTTATGTATCGGATGATGTGGCGCATCCTGATTCGCCTCTGGACCATCGGATGATCGTAAAAAAACAATTTCTCACGTATAAGGCCCACGCATCACCCTTTGATAGGTGTGTTATAAACAATACAAGTGCTTTTGTTGTATACATTTAGATAAACACAGTTTTAATACATATAAAAATTATATAATTTGAAAAACAAAACTACATATATAAGATTCATTTGATTTTTTGAAGTTAAGAAAATACATTTTTAACATTATATATAATGACGCACCTAGAATTAATTCAGCTTCTTGGGCTGGCTGTGGGAAGGGAAATGAAGCACCTTTGCTGGGCAAGATGACCAGGGCGCCATAGACAGTCGCCCTTAGCCATAAAATGTGAGCGTGCCACCATAATGTGCCACGTTGTCCTGTGATATTAAAGTCGTACGTGTACGAATTGCCACTCTGAATTGGACACTGTGTGATATATGCTGGCCCATCGGCCCATCCATTCCTGAACTGCTTAAGCCCATGCCTATATCATTTAATTAAATTTTGATAAATACAATATTAGTTAATTAATTAGCAGCTCATTGCATGAGGTATATACCAATGGATGGACATGTTGTATTGCGCATGGTTGGTGACATTGATGACCACGTGGTCACCTTCTCGAGCGTAGATTGTTGGCCCTGGGTATCTTCCATTCACGGTCACGATGGGTTTTGCATGGCACAGTCTGCTCACATTCTTCACCACAATCTGCTCGTAAGAAAATGAAAAAAATTTAGCTGAAGATGATATATGTTTTTGGGTAATTCAAAACATATTCACCAGCTTACAATAAAATGTTAGGATTATTTAATCTATCATTTGGACAAAATTAAAATATAAAAAGAAGGCTGACATGCAGCCCACCATAACATATTCGTTGGGAGTAGGGTGTCAATATTTGACACGACGCAAAAATCCGATTCGAATCCGACCCAAAAGTTTCGGGTTAGGGTTAACCTATACCTGAAATGGGTCGGTTTGGGTTCAGAAAATCGACCCGTTTCAAAAACTGGGTCGGATTCAGGTTGACCAAGTAACCTGAAATTGACCCGTTTTGACCTGAAAAACCATTTTGACCCAAAAGCCCGATATTGACCCGTTTTGACCCAACAATCAGAGATTGACCTATTTTTTGACCCGAAAATCAACAACTTTTTATCGGTCCCGGGTCCTTCGGGTTGTGTCGGGTTGACTCGGACCCAAAGAGGGTCGAGTTCGGGTTCTAAAAATTGACTCATTTGCAAAAATGGGTCGAGTTCGGGTTGACCCGAATAGTTACGGGTCAGCTCCATATTCGACCCAAACCCGACCCATAACCCGAAATTAACACCCCTAGTTTGGAGCTTAGGCTTCTAATCAAAAGATTTTGTTAGGTATGTGTAAGTTGCAATTAATCCGAGATTGACCCGTTTTGACCCAAAAATTAGAGATTGACCTGTTTTTTGACCCAAAAATCAGCATTTTTTTGTCGGCCCCGGGTCATTCGGATCGTGTTGGGTTGACCCGGACCAAAGAGGGTCGAGTTCGGGTTTGAAAAATTGTCCTATTTGCAAAAATGGGTTGAGTTTGGATTGACCCGAATAGTACCAAGTCAATTCCAGGTCACGACCCATAACCTGAAATTGACACCCATAGTTTGGAGCTTAGGCTTCTAGGTAGTCAAAAGATTTTGTTAGGTATGTGTAAGTTGCAATTAATTAACGCTCCATTTGGAACAATTTTTTTGTTGCGGCCTAAAACAGTTTAATTTCTACAATAAAATTTTTTAAAATTAATTTTTTTTTATTATAATGTGGCTTATAAAAACAGTAAGAAAGCTATTACAAACGAAACCTACATTTGCATAAAAATATTGACTCAAAAATTTCATAGAACAATTTATTAACTCCATTTGAAATTCAAACAATTCATTTCATAGAAAAACATTGATGATGGCAATGAACAGTACTCTTTCAATACATAATTATGTGTAACAAATCAGTTGTTTTGTAATTCAAAGAGGTAATGTTGTATCATCAGCTAAATTTATCTAAGTAATTTGTGTTTCAACTATAGGATAATATCTAGTTACTCACATCGAACTGGTATCTCTTCAGGGCTGCTTCGGTGGTGAATGGAAATGATGAAAGGAATGCAAGAAAGCAGGTGAAGAAGAGGCTGAGAACTGATAAATGGAACCTCTGGCTGCAGCCTGGTGAAGCCATAGCAATCTCGAAAGCTGGTTGATGAGCAGCACAATTGGCTGGCTATATGGTCATTGCGATGGAAGCTGAAAGCCTGAGGCTTGTTTATATAGCATAGATGTTTACAGGCTTCTGATTTCCTTGCAGATCGAGAATGCCAGCATTCGACTTCAGATCTTGGGGATTGTAGGTGGAAATGATGCTTTGAAGCGAATGACGATGGAGACCATCAGGAATGTGAAAACGCCAAGAATTTGTTAATGATGGTTGTAGTAGATCTTTGATGTTGAGGACTCCATTAATGGGAGAGAATAAATGACTAACAAATGCAATTGAAGCTTTGTCTTTAAGCATAAGGAACTGCTCTTGGATTTAGCTGGAAAACGTTATTTTCTTCCGCCAAATTTTATAAAGAAGCATGATTATAATCAAAATTAGTAAAGGAGCATCAATAAATAAAAATTTAATAGGAACAAATACGATATATTCAATATTCTAAAATACGCTAAATAATTTGATGCAATAAAAAAACGCCATTTAGCCGTATTCTACTCACAGATAGAGAGAGACAAATGAGAGATGGAGAGAAATATTAAAGTTAACAGCGGAGAGTGGTGATAGAGAGATGTGGCAGCGGAGGAGAGAGAGAGGATAATCAAATACTTAAATTAATATTTTAACTATTTTTAAATATTCATATAGTTAAAAAAATACAATATTCAGTATTTATTATTAAAATACATATATTTAATAATTTAAACTAAATATATATATATTTTTATAAGTTTTAATTAAACATAATAATTTAAAACTTTATTTAATTTATATTATATTTATTTTAAAAACCTAAAAACTATTATATATTTAATAAAATTAAAGCTAATTAGAAATTTATATTGAATAATAATAATAATAATAATTTAATACAATTATCTATGAATAAACAATATAATACTTTATTCAATATTTTAGTTTTTCATCATCTACTTAAAAATATGTATTTTAAAAAATCGATGTTTAATATGTTTTTCTTAATAATTTAAAAAATCAAAATAATTTTAACTTCTTAGAATATTTTAAAAATAACTTTCAATCTATCTGTTAACATATTAATTGGATGACAAAATAATTTTACGAGTATAAATAACTTAATATTCAATATTTAAACATAAAATAGCATTATAATATATCATAATATATATATATATATATAATAGAATAATTTATTAAATAATAAAATTTTCAGTAATTTAAATATCTAAAATAAATTAAAAAATGAGTTGAATAAATAAGATATTTACAAAATTAGTTTAAATAATAGTTAATATCTTAAAATATAAAATATTAATATAAATACTTAAAAATTATTTATCTCTCTCTCTGCTATTAACTCACTCCCTTCCAATCTCTCTCTCCCCGCTGTCAACACTCATCTCTCTCCCTTCTCTCTCTACGTCAAATTAAATGGCGTATTCTCACTCCACCAAATTTTTTGTTGCATTTTAGAATACATCATTTAATTTAGCATATTTGCTCATATTTAAATTTTTATTAATCGATGTTCTTTTAACTAATTTTAATTATTATTATGCTTCTTTATAAAATTTAGCGGACCTAAAAAGACTTGGTTAGAAAACATTTGGAATGCCTTTCTTTATTAGATTTAAACAATAATTTGACTTTTAATATGACACAATTGAGAAAAAAGATTCATGTAGCCGATCTCACGTAGTGGGATAGAGACTTGATGTTGTTTTTGTTGTTGTTGTTGTTTCTTCTGTGACGTTTTTGAGTTTAAGGGACCAAAGTTGTACAAGATGTCCCTACTTGTTTGCATTTTTTTTATTATTTTGTAAATTTATAATTGATCTGTCATTTATGGGGAAAAAAAATCTTCTATAATGTTTCTTGGATTAAACTGTGAAAGTGGAGGTGGAATTTAAGCTTGCATGACATTTATTTTGGTCAAATGTGTAAAAAAAAATTGTTAGAAAAGACAATTTTGAAAATGCTAAATAATAAGATTTGGGGTTTCGGATTTATTGTGAAAAACAATTGCTAGAAAGTCACATTCTAATATATAGCATTGTTTGGGATAACTTTTTATTACTTATTAAAATAATTTTTTATTAAAACTTTTTAAATTAAAAATTCTTTACTAAAAAAACTATTCTAAAGGCATCTCCAACCAAAAACCTCATTTTCTACTCCAAAACACAGTAACATGTCAAAATACAATAATTCATCTCAAATCGAATTCTATTTCATAACAAAAAAATAAAAAAAATATTGATATATTCTTTCTCCAACAAAAAAATGATGTTTGTGAACAGTACGACGTCAATATTTACATCGCACTGTTTACCTCACAAAAATGCTGTTGAATCTTGTTTTCGGTTGGAGCTTGCGGCGGACGGCAAATGCTCGTTTAGCTGGAGATGACCTAAATCCCATCATAATAGATTTAATATTGTTGGATTTGTGCTAGGATTAATTCAGCATATAATATCAAAGAGATGCACTGCTCTTAGAATAAATTAGATGTCGATGGAACCTAACATAACGAGATTTGCATTTGGACATCCAAATGCAATTTTTATTCTTGCGGTGGATGAGGATTCAACTTAGAAGATCAGCCATCATTGTTTGGATAATTTTTTTTTACTAAGAATGAGGTCTTGGATTGCCCCACAACCAATAAGGGAAAAAATATATAAATCTGATGTCCTCGTCAAATTCATGTCATGATAGGCTTTAAATCGCTATATTTGTTTTCAGACGATCGAGTACAATATAGATCATTTATGTATTATATTTATCTCAAAATAAATTCAAAAACTTTAAGGGTCTTTTGGGGGAGAAATTATTTTGTGCGGAGGCCGGAAGCAGCTTTACATCCGGAGGCGAATCAAGCGAAACCATGTCAGCAGTACCAAGCCGTGGTACCGAGCGTCTCCTAGCCTCTGTACCGAGCAAAGGAATGACGTGATGCATTCTGATTAGTCTCCGGACGGTGTTCGACGTCCGCACAGAATAATTAATCCTTTTGGGGATAGCTTTCTCAATGTTTTGCTGTTTAGAAAATAATCATAATTTCATTTGACTATTACTTTCTTATTGTTTCTCACTATTTTTCATAAATTTATATGGTGAAAAGTTATTTTTTATAACCAGAGAGTTAAATTGTTTCCCTATAGTAACTTCCATACTAATTTTATAAAAAGCTATAACTGACTCAAATAGAATCTAAAACTACTCATATTGATTATTTTTTTTTATCAAATTGCCACAAATGTTTTCTTATAACAAGCCCATAATAGTCTGATTTTATTTTATTTTTTCAGAAAAAAATATTAGAAATGATATTTGCTTATTATATTTAAAAGAGAATTTGACTTTTAACTAGGCATAAATGGAGAAAAAAAAAAGATTAATATAGCCGACCCTATGTAGTTAGATAAAGATTCGATCTTGTTGTTCTTACCAGACAAATAATAAATGTGATTAATCATGACCCAATTGCTTTCCACACAATTTTCTTTCTGCATGCATGCAACATTATGTTATCCCCATGACTTTTCATTGAAAAAAATAGACAAGGATATGAAATTTAAATTTTTAAAAAATATAAATTAAATAATATTTGAATAAAAAAAAATCAATGAATTCAAACAATATTCCTTAAAAGATTTTAAATATTTCCAAACTTTAAGTAAGTTTATGCATATCAGAGTATTTGGAAAGCCCCTTTTTGGGTCTCTTAGCCATAAGCTCAGCCAAGTTGCACTTATATAATTGTTTTTATAATTATGATTAAGGTTTAGAGATCTCATTAAAAAAAGTAGTTAAGCCCCATAAGTTGTACTTATAACATTACTGAGAGCATCTCCAATCGACTCATTTACAGCTTCCACGAGCATTCACCCAAACAACAAATAGAAACACATTTTTATATTTTAATGTATCTCAATTACGTACAGTACGAAGCCAATATTACCGTCACATTTTTCGCAAATATAATTTTTTGCTTTTGTGTTTACAACAAAAATTATAAAAGTATATAAACATAATTTTCTTTTTTTTTTTGTTAGAAATAAAGTTAAGTTGGGGATAAATTACTATTTATATGATCTTTATTATATTTTGAAGTGAAAAATAAATATTTTAATTGGAGAAGCCCTAATGCTCATAAAATTTTGAAAATATTTAACTTTTAATGAAGTAGACAGTGAGACTTAAATGAGTACCACATTACCCGACAATACAATAGTTAGGCAGTTGAAGAGTTATTAATTTCGGGTTGACGAAGTCAACATGATCTCGTCATATAAGTCCACCAATAATTTAACATCACAAGCATTTAAAACTTCTTGAAATAATTTTATGTATGGACTAAATAAAAAAATATGTAAGTGTATGTAAGTGTTGTACGCCTTAAAATTTATGATGATAGAAATAATTTAATATTTTAGGGTTATATAAAGTAATACGTAGGAGAAAAAAAAAAATTAGAAGGAAAAAAGAAGGGCGATTATCTAATTAAAATAGTTTCATTAATGTGTGTTAAGAGTAACGTCCTCATAATATATATTTATTCTAATTTCTTAGGTTAGTGGATTCCTTAAAATGCAGATTTCTAAATTCAAAAATAATATCATTCATCAAGTCTATGCTAAAAAAATTTTAGTGTTGTCTTTTCTTTAATCTTTTTCCCACGAGGGGCGGATCCAGGTTCTTTTTTTAGGGTGGGCAGAAAAATTTTTTTTTGGTAGGGGATGGACAAAGATGAATAGGATTGATAAAATTGGGGCAAAAAATTTTTTTGAGAGGGGGCAAAATACCCAAAATACTCAAAATATATCAAAAAAATACCCTCTAAAATTTTAATTTTTTTTTTTGAGGGTGGGCATTTGCCCCCCCCCCCCCTCACTACCATGGGGATCCGCCCATGCTTCTCGCATCAAAAAATAATAATAATAATTAATAAAATTGTAACTTCTATTTATAATTTTCTCTTTTCTTTCATCTCTACATTTTTTTTATTTTTTTATTTTTTTTGTTCGAACTATAATATATATATATATATATATTTAAAGAAACATATATTAATAATAATAAAAAACGGTTACAATAAGAAAGAGCACGGAAATAAAAAGAAAATTACAAAGAAACCGCGGGCTCAGTTAGTGGTTGAGGCTTCCAGCACCACCACACTCCACCAGGACCGTCCAAAAAGTG